GACCATCGCTAAGAGCACTAACCAGATCAAACTCAATTGAATCTTTTATGGTAATTCCGAGCTTACACTACCATCGTTTCTTACGTCAACATTTTTACACATGAGGCATTGAGCTCATCGTGATCATTGGTCAAACAACACAAACGGCCGACATCTTACACTAGATCACATCTTCTGCATTGCACATGTACCTCAGATGCAGGTATGCATTCGAAAATTGGGTTCTTCCAGGGACCTTACTCCTTCAACCTTCCCATTATGCTCGGCTACTTCGGGGTGTAGTTTGGTAGATGCACGCCTCAGTGGGACAAATGTCTATCATTCCAAGTACGGTGCAGCACAGTTATGGGTCACAGTTATAGGAACGTGGAAGCCCCTCCACGACAATGGGCGATTGGCTGAAATACGATACCAACGTCCAGCCCCATTCATGATAGCCATGATAGCCATGATAACCAAGCAAGACGACCTATCAGGCAACTCTTCATTGGCTTCCTGGTTAAAGAACTTGGCATGTCAATGCTAGGGTTGCTCTCAATTCGTCTTATTTCGTCTCGACTATCGTGGCGAACCAGTTCCGTTGCAATGGACTGCTTTATCATTCGTATCCCGGCAGGGGGGATGGCTGTAAATGAATATATGACAGCCCGAGGTAGAGACGCAAACATGAGCCATATACGCAATGTGATGAGTCGAGGGGGGCAACAAATAGATTGCATTTTGAACGGATAGCGGGCAGGTTGCTTCCCTGACATAGCAAACCACTAAAAGAGAGCTTCCTTCTCTGATGGTAGGCTGGGATACGCGGCTCCCTGTTACTCAACTTAGGTATTTGCCCTTTCTAGAACTACAAGGTCTAGGTATAAGCTTTGGTTGGTCCTCCTACTTGTATCCGCTTTCAGCTAAGCCTTCCATCACGCCAAGGGTACTAGATAATACGATTTTGCGTCTACTACATAGTTGGCTTTAATCAAGATTCAAGACCAAGTATAAAGCTTGTGTGTCCTTAGACACGAGAATATGAGAGATATTACGAAATTACAGCGTCGGATTTCTCATCTTCTCACCATCCCAAGCAGCATGACACGCCATAAAACCAACCGCAAAGATCCTCATGTGCCAGACTATGGTGAAAAGAGTATGAGCGACACCAATGCTCCTGGGACCGTATCAAAGCCACCTTACACAATCCGAGAGGCACCCCTCGGAACTACTAAACATGTCAGGATCGTAGGTATCGGTGCGGGGGTTAGTGGTATAAATATGATACGGACCCTTAGGAGAAACATAGCCAACTACGAATTCGTCATCTACGAAAAGAACAAGAAAGTCGGAGGGACTTGGTTCGAGAATCGTTACCCGGGATGCAGATGTGACGTACCAAGTCACAACTATCAGTTCTCATGGCGCCCAAATCCCGAATGGTCTAATTTCTTCGCGCCTGCTGAAGAGATCGAGCAATATCTAGACCGGATATGCGAAGAAGAGAGTATGTCAGACGTGATCAAGACTCAACACAAGGTCGTGGGTGCTTGGTGGAACGAGGACCGCGGGCTTTGGGACCTAAGTGTCGTAGACCTTGAGACCGGCCAAGAGTTCAGAGACAATGCCAACTTCCTCATTAACGCATCAGGCATACTAAAGTAAGATAGACCATCGACTATCGACCATAGGGCACACCGCCTGCGCAGAACGCACTACTAATCAAGATACACCAGTAACTGGAGATGGCCAGACATCCCGGGAATAAATAACTTCAAGGGAAACTTGATACATACTGCCAGCTGGCCTAAAGATTTCGACTATACCAACAAGACTGTTGCTTTGATTGGAAACGGCTCGTCAGGTATTCAGTTGCTACCTACAATCCAGCCAGGTCAGTCGCCCCCTATTCTGCTCACTACAATATAAACTGACCCCTAGTAGGTGTCAAAAAGCTATACCATTTCGTCCGTACTCCGACATGGATCATCCCCCCACGGATACTGTCGATGAAGGTGATGGGAGGGCCTGCTAAGGATATCCTTGGTGAGATAGAGCTCGACGAGAAGGAGAACTTTACGCAACGACAAATCGAGAGGTTCAAGTCGGATCCTGCCTTTTACCATAAATTCATCAAAACAATCGAGAAAGATAGCAACGGCGCATTCGCACTCGTAAGGACATATCTACTTCCGGCTCCCTGATAACATCATCATTGACATTTTCATATGCAGGTCGTGAACGGCAGCCCGGCACAGAAGTTTGCGACAAGTAAGGTTGTCGAGTATATGAAGGCCACACTAGGGGGTGACGAGAGGCTCTGTAAGGCCCTTATCCCCCAATTTCCTCTGGGGTGCCGCAGAATCACGCCAGCACCGGGATATTTAGAAGCCCTCAGAGCCCCGAATATAGAAGTCATCACAGAAGGGATCGCCGCAGTTGTGCCGGAAGGCATTCAACTCGAGTCGGGCGAAGTGATCAAGTTAGACGCCATAATTTGCGCTACGGGCTTTGACACCTCCTTCGTTCCGCGGTTCCCTATCGTTGGCAGACATGGTAATGTTCAGGACGCGATGAAGACAGAGACACCGAAAGGCTACATGTCGTGCGCACTTGCTGGCGTGCCCAACTACTTCAGTAAGTACTTAATCTATAATGGCCCTAACTTTGAGATTGCGTACTGTATCCTAACAAGTTCTTGAAGCCTTCCTTGGTCCCAATGGGCCTATAGGCCACGGTAGCGTCTTCACCTTAAGCGAGCACATCGCGAGATACATCACTCGCATAATAGCCAAGTGCCAAAAAGAAGGCATCAAGGCGGTCGTGCCGTCCGACGCAGCGGTAGACGACTACAGCCAACACGTAACGACTTTTATGCCGCGTACAGCATGGGCGTCGCCAGGTAAATCTTGGTTTAAGGGCGGTACCGAAGACGGGCCCGTCACGGCTCTACACCCGGGAAGCCGTGTGCATTTCTTCCAAATGCTCGAACACTTCCGCGGCGAGGACTTCGACTACGTCTACGATAACCCCGCGCGCAATAGGTTTCACTACTTGGGTAACGGCTTCTCGGCTAGGGAGCTCGATCCTAACGTCGACTCGACGTGGTATTTGGAGGAGGATGTTGATGGACCTGTATATACCTAACGTAGGTAAACACTTGAGGCACGAGATGAAGTGGCAAGGATAGGTACCTAAGTATTGTGAGTATATAGATGCATGCGCCTTTGGGCCTGGCAAATAATGCGGATGCATGTTACGAATTTTTGTTGTCTGTCGAAATGAAATCAATATATGATTTACGAATATTTTCACCAGTGATACTTGTGTGAATATATGGGTTCTTAACTCGATTCGTTGCCATCCTGAGTACTTTAACTAGTCCTTCTCCTCAATACGAACTCCATACCGGCTCGTAGTCATGTATTAGTCTTGTTCTAATCTTCTACCTCGTGCTATTTTAAGCACACAACTTTACCAAATCTTAGTCCATTCCCGGGATTTTATCAATAATGTTTCATATTTTCCCGGGTCTTTGGGCTGCTGTTGAGCGTCGAGGCCGATTCGTTGTTCTTTGGTCTCGGACCGACAGGTTGTTTAGCGTCGGATGATGGCTCTGTTGACGCTGGCACTAAATTAGGGGCGCTTAATCTTCTCTTCTAACTAACAACACGAGATGTTAAGACAGGAATTTGTTTTATAATTCGCAAACAAACATACGGTCAAGTAAGGAATATGATTATTTGGTTGTAAGTTAATGCCTCATGTTTTAAGGGAGATCCGACCTAGGTAGCTGGCTGGCTGGATTGCACTGCCTTCGTAGGCGTATAAGTCCGCTGTTTACCGTAGGTGGGGGGTTGCGGTCCGTTCCGAGCCGTGGATAACCTACCTAAAGTTCACGATGTTTATAAATATAGTGCTTTCAAACATCATAATATATGAACTAACTAGATGACGATTCATCTAGATCTAATTATTTTTTCTAGTTATTTGTTATTATATGGCGAAGTTGTAATAACTTATATAGAAATAAATTTGACGAATATGTTTTACTGGGCATCTTACCCCCGCTCTATTCTGTATAACACCGAGGGGTACAAACAGAAGTAAGGCGCTTCGGAAAAAGTAGTGAGGCTCTTCTCAACATCAACGGTCGCTCAAAGTCCAATATGGACTAATACAGTCTTGCCTACGGCCCCCTATTCTCCTATACGTACATATAAGTGTAATATACATGCATGCATGCATTTACCAAAGACAGAAGCTGAAAGAAGCCGGAATACCTCGTCCTCGTCCTCGTCCTCGTCCTCGGGAACCCAAGGAGGGGGGGGGTCGCATTGCGGGCCGAGGAGGCTTCGAGCCCCCCCCTACCCACAATCCCTCTCTACCCGTCCATTCATACGACTCTACGTACCGCTGCTGCTCAACAGCCTCCACGCAGGGCGTTTTTTCCAGGCGACCGTCAAACTGGGCCGCTCAATGGCCCAATCGACCCTCACATGTCGCGTAGATTTACTCGTTGTGCACCAACGCTCGTGGGATCCCTGTGGGCGCTTAGCTGCCTATTGGACCGTCTGGGTTGCCCGCAGCTCGTCGGGCTGCTGTGTCTCTAGCACTGCCCTCTGTCCACATGATCTTGCTGTATGTATGTAGGTATGTATGTGTGTTATGTTCATGCAGCAGCCAGTCGGGCTGTGATGTGATGTGTCGTTTTATCTCGGCCGTAGTGCATGTTATACATATATCAACCGCATGCTCGTAGGCCTCACTTGCTATCGTTTTTGTGACTGTTCTTTTTTGGCATCAATTATACCCTTGTCTTTTTCATTCTTTTGCTCCGGCCACTACGGCGGCGATAATTAATTAGATTTACTTCCCTTCTACGTTAATATTATAGATCCCTCTTCTCCCATCTTGGATAATAGACACTTGCTCGTAGTATCGCGAGGCCCTAGCGAAATTAGATCCGTGTAGAGCAATCCGGGGAAAAAGGAATAGGAAAAGAAGGGGAATACGCCATGTCTAAGAATGATGGCACACCGGTAAATCTACTTGCATTAGGTATATCCACTCACCTATACTCATGTGACTGGTCATCCGAGTGTTGTTTAAGTGTAGGTAGCTAACATTTGTTTCAATGATAGACGGGGGAGGAATCCGCGGAATATGCGAACTCAGAGTCTTAGACGAGATCATGAAGCGAGTCCAAAAGGCGCAAAATCTAGCCTCCATACCGAGACCATGCGACTACTTTGACCTCATGGCGGGCACAAGCACTGGCGGGTAAGGAACCTAACTGGTTGCTATTCCTAGGGGAAGAGAGGCGTTGGGGAGAATACAAGATGTTGAACTAGTGGTATATATGATCGATCATTCCACTAACAAAAGTGATGTGGGGATACAGGCTTGTCGCTATCCTGCTCTCGCGATTCAAGATGACCACGACGGATGCCATCGCGGCCTACTACGACTTCTCGGGGAGGATATTCTCGAAGAAGAATAGGAAGGGGATTATGGGTGTATTGGTCGGCCATCCATTCCGTGAGAAGCCTCTTGTAGACATTATTAAGGGCATGGTTGCTACCCATCAAATTGGAGAGCTCATGATCGACCCGAAACCCGAAGCTCGGTCCAAAGCTTTTGTCTGCTCGCAGCCCGCACATAGACAAGGGAAAGCCACTCGCTTTCGAACCTACGAACCACCACCCCCGCTGAAGATAAATACTTCTCCGGAAGTTTCTTCCCCGTCAGGCTCTTCGTCATCCACTTCCTTACATTCGTCATCATCAAAATCCGCTTCTCAGTCTTCAGCTTCTTCGGCAGATGATTCGCTCGCGCTTGGATTACCCGAGCTTAAAAGAATTACATCTACGATGAAAGACCCGTGGAATGACTACAGGGACGTCCAGATTTGGGAAGCTGCTCGTGCTACGACAGCCGCGCCGTCATACTTCGACCCGATGGTTCTCACCCGCGGGAACAACAGTAGAACCTTCATCGACGGGGCAATGGGTTGTAACAACCCGGCGAAAGAGGTAGTCGATGAGGCGGCAGCCCTGTTCGGAACAGACTGCGTCCTAGGCTGTCTTGTCAGCTTGGGAACCGGGTTCTCTGGAGAGGTAACGATTGGGGAGGCCGAGAGTGGAATAAAGAAAACCGTTGGTTTGATTAACAACCTCAAAAAGATAGCCACAAATACGGAAGAAGTACATGAGGATCTTCGACGCCTAATACGAGCCGATCTAGATACTTACTTTCGGTTTCAACTTCCTAAAGGAGCCGAGGAGATCCGCTTACACGAGTATAAGAAACTCGATGAGCTATCCCAGCTCATGCAAGTGTATATTGAAAAAGAGTCATCCGAGATCGATAAGGTTGTGCAGATCCTGATAGACAAGGCGAAGCCACGAGGGATCACCCTTGGCCAGATCGGTAAGCACTCGGTTACTTATTATTCATGGCTCCATGGAATTAAGCTGACCGCAAGCAACCAAAAGCTCAATCCGACCACGGCCAGATTGATCCGCCTAAGAAAGATATCCGTAGCCGACCACCCGTCAGCGATTTCTTCACCGGTAGACAAGATATTGTTAGTACGCTTGCCAAGGACCTTTGCCCAGATAAACTGCGTCCGAATCGCCAGCGGCATCATCTCATATATGGTCAATCTGGTGTCGGCAAGTCGCAGATTGCCTCTAAATTTCTAGACGTTCACGGATACAAGTAAGAGTTGATCCCGCACTCCTTAAAATAGAGTTTTCTGATGCCTTTTCTTAGCTTTGACATGATATTATGGGTTGATGCGATGAGCAAAGAAACGATTGAGGCTGGTTTTAGAGAACTCACGAATTGTTCGGAATACGGCTACGCCGGTGACGGGTCACCGAGGTCACTGTTGTCATGGCTGGAGAAGACAGAGCATTCATGGATCCTAGTCCTCGACGATGTGCGCGGAGACGTGAGCGATTACGTACCCGGCGGAAGCAACGGCGCCGTGCTCTTCACCAGCCAGAACAAATTCATCAAGCCCGCTCAAAAGTGGTCAACCTTTGTGGACGTAATAAGCGAAACAGACGCACTCGAGCTACTATTATCCAAAGCACAACTCGCCAATGTGGATGGAAAAATGCGCGGAGAGGGGGTAAAACTTGTACGATCCTTGGGTTATCTGCCCCTGGCCATTGAACATGCGGCCGCCACGCTTCGGATGATGCAATGGGAAGTCACAGAGTACGCGGCCGAGCTCGAGATCCAACATGATGGCTTACTGAAAAAACCAGGTTCTAATCACGGCTCGGCCGGCTCGGCCGTCCTCCGAGCCGTACATGCTTCCTTCGACGTCACGTATAAGATTCTCAACAAGCAAGCCCACGAAGCTTCGGACAATTCAAAGGCACAGGCTGCCAAATATGCGCTTCAGCTCTTGAACCTTTTCTCCTTCTACCATAATGAAGGCCTAATGGGAAATATCCTCAAGAGGGCAACCACTTATCGTCCGAATGATAGGCATCAAGATGACTATGGGGTTGGCGCCGAGTCCTTCGCCGATCTGCTGGCTCTCGACGAATCGGGAAAATGGATTGAGCATCGATGGCAATTAGGCATGGATCTGTTGATTGCCTATTCACTGGTCAAAGTGACCAAAGACGATCAGGTTCGGAGGCTGTACTCCATCCACGGTCTCGTACATAATTGGGCGAGAGAAAGAACCCCTGATTATCTCCGTCATGCACGGGCGAAGGCTGCTAGACTGATCCTTTTCGACTCGTTTACCGAATCTCAATCCACCCCTAATGACTTCCAGTATGGCTTCAAAGTCCTCCCACACGTGCAGGCTGTTATGAAGAGTACCGAAGACATCGACTCAGGTGCTGACCCTATGCTGATGGTGCCTTTTCACTATAAATATGGGTTACTACAGGAAGCATTGGGGGTTGGTGGTATACTTTTCAAGGAGTTATTTAAGGCCGGCCAGATCATCGTAGAAAATAAAAAGGTACTGACCGAAAATCTGCTCAGAGTTTTAGAGAGCATTGTCGAGGCAGCAAGACGTCGAGGAGTCCTTGATCCAGCCCTTATTATTGCATCGAATTGCTTCACAGGGCGGAAAATTCTTCACGGCGAGGGCCATTTATATGCAGACCGTGCTCTAACGGCTTATGCAGCAGTCCATATAGAGATGGGGGAGTATGAACGTGCTGCAGAAACCTTACGGGTTAACCTCCGTATCTTCGACGCATTTCATCCTGGAGAAGATAAACTGGCGACACAGACTGCCTTAGCCATAGCCTTATTTTACATGATGCAAACAAAAGAAGCTAGGGACATCCTAATTGATGCAGCACAAGAGGTTGAAAAGCGGTATGGTGCTTCCCACCCGAAGACTCTTGAAACGCTTTCAAACCTGGCCATCCTCCAAATTACGGAGATGGAATACGAGGAAGCGGAGAAAAAGCTTAAATACGTCTTGGAGATGGAGAAGAAGATCTTTGGACTCGGATATATGGGCCGGGCCTACACTTTCCATAATCTTGCGATGGTGTACTTTTACCAAGACAGGTTCAAGATAGCACTGGAATATTTCCTCGCAGCGAGGAGCATAAGCCGATGCTATACTACGTCGTGCGATGTCAGACATTACTATTACAACCATGGCATAGCGATGACAATATATCATTTGGGAGACCGAAAAGGTGCTATTAAATATATCAGCCGATCTTGCGATGCATTTAGGAAGGGGTTCAGCAGCAGACATATTTACATAGAACAAATTGAATGGCAGAGGGATAAGTGGATATATGAAGAGGAGAACGATATGGATATTGAACAGGCCACTACTTACATATTCCCAATATTTCGGTATTAACAATAAAGCCGATTGCCTTGTCCAAATTATCCGGCATTGATTAGTCCTAAAAGACTTGTAGGGTGAGAATGCGTCGTCTATACGGTTCAGATGATAAATGATGGATATTGCGTTACTGCGTGATTCTAATAAAGTTGGGGAATTATATTGTATTCCGCCATGAATGGGGTAAAACCTAACGTCGTTCCATAGTTTCGACGATCCAGTCTGCTTGAACAACGCTGACTTTTTTGACGTAACTTCTCTGCGTAAATACGTGCTCTAAGAACATTATAGCTTCCCGTTTCTGTCCATGCAAGACGCTGGATGGGTGAACAGCCACGACGTGTTTCCCTTGTATTGTGACGTAACTAGAGTCTGGCGCCAGAAGGGCACATTTCGTACCGAAGCCTTTCATGAAACATTTCAACAGTAATGTTGCCCTTTCAGGAGACATGGGTACGAACGGTTGAGGATCCGGCGGTGGCGACTCTGTAAGTAACTTTTCCTTTGAGCATATACCTCGAAGTTGCTTTCGAATGTTTAGAGCTTGTTTCATGTTGCGAATATTGACTTTCCGCTTCTTACACCATTCAATTCGGTCAGCATTTTCCGCCGCATACCGTTGCATGGTAGTTAGGTATGTGAGGATATCACCTTCCCGGCGGTATAATTCTTTACGATATTCTTCAACTTCTTCCCTTACTTCCTCCGACTGTAGTTGATGGAATATATTCTCTCCTGATGTAATGCAAGCAATGATATCAATGACTTCGAGGAGACAATCATATTGAGGCTCGCTTGCTGCAAGGAGCACTCTCCCGTATGGCGCAGAAATTGGGAAAAGAGCTAACTTCCTCCCAATTTCCGTGATGGTGCCATCATCTGCAAGTGCGCCCAAGAAGTGAAGATGTATCAAGGCTTTTTCTACCGACTCAATATCGGGAAAGTCCATTAATGGAAACGAAAGTATGTCATTAATACCCCGTGCCTTCATTGTCAAGATGGCACTCAGAACGTCATTGCGGAGAATTTCTGGCAAATCAGCCTCTTTGAGTGAGTCGTACGTTGCTGATGTATAGAGTCTGTAGCATTTGCCGGGCCCTTCACGCCCAGCTCGGCCAGTCCGTTGTATTGCCGACGACTTTGAAATTGCCTTTGCCAACAATGATTCCATGCCTAACTGCGAACGAAATTGCTTTACTTTAGCTTTTCCGCAGTCGATTACATACCGGACGCCCGGAACGGTAACTGATGTTTCTGCGATATTGGTCGCTAAAACTACTTTCCGTGTAAAGCCTTTCTTAGCGGGCAAGAATGCGTCCTGCTGCGCTTGGATTGAGAGCTGGCCATATAAAGGACAGACTAATAGCTTGGGTATGTCTGAAGCTAGTGTTTCATTGTGCTCCTCGATAAGACGCTGGGCAGCTTCGATTTCTTCTTGGCCAGTAAGAAAGGCTAAGATGTCGCCGGGCAACGGCTCATGCAAATGAATATCGAATATCTGTTTCAGAAGGGTCTCTTGAATATCCGTGACAGGCTTGTTCGTATGTTTGATCTCCACGGGATATTGTCTTCCTTTGATCTGGAGTAATTGAACGGCAGAGCTCGAATTCTGGGGTTTAAAAAAAGTTTGAATCTTCTCTATATCTGCCGTGGCACTCATGATCACCACCTTCAAGGGTATACCTCCGCGCCCGGCCTTATCACTCGACAGAATCTGCTTTAAAAACCCAGCGATTAAATCGACGTCAACGCTCCTTTCGTGAATCTCGTCGACAATTACGGCGCTATATTGACGTAAATTCGGATCGCGTAAGAGCTCCTGTAGAAGCATGCCTTCGGTGAGAAATTTGACTTTGGTGCCTTTTGGAATATTGTGGTCAAACCGGACAGAGTATCCAACGGAGCCCTCGCGCGACGCTCCCAGAGGTGTTCCCATCTCACGAGAAACCCTGTTAGCTAGGGTAGTTGCTGCAACTCGTCGCGGTTGAGTAATAGCAATCATTCCACCCACGTTCACCGTATCAGACTGCACTCGAACCTTCTTCTTTCGACACCAGGGTTCATCACAAAGAAATTGGGGAACCTGAGTACTCTTGCCCGAACCAGTCTCGCCAACGATAAGTAGCATATCATTCTCACCGCGTAGACTAGCCCTGATCTCGTTCTGGAGAGTCCATATCGGTAGGGCCTTGCGAGATTTTAATAATGACGGGTCCCCACTACCTGAGAGCCTCTTAGTCTGGTGCGCCTTCTGAGTCCGCGGGTCGTTTTCCTTAATAGGATCATGCTGAGGTTCCTTAGTTGTGGTTGGCTCCTGTACCGATGGTAGCTTCTCTAACGGTTTCTTCTCAGGAGCAAGATATGCACTTAGTGAAATTGTCTTATTCCCAATTTTTACAACCGATGTATCATTCGTGGCCTTCGTTTTGCGCCTCTTTGGCTTATGTTCGTTGTCGGCCATTCTGATTTGCGTTGACGATTTGAAAATGATAGACTTTCTTCTTACTGAGAAGTTTAAAATAAATGTCTATGTTAGCACTGTGCTACTAAGATATATTTTCTAGTCACGTGCTGCAGAGTGTACATATATACCTACTAAGATATTTAGGTACATATGTACCTAGACCGTACCTGGACAATTCGTCAGAAAGGTCAAAGAAGAAATCCCATCTATTTGTTCAGATTTTTACGGCTAGTTAATATAATAAGTCCGATACAACTAATTGTGAAAGATGTTACCGTCCAAAATTTAAACTGCCTTATGGTACATTTCCAAAGGCTATGTACATCAGTATTAGATGAGGTACCTAAATACCTAATGGCGGACGTTATTCTTCGTTGTCATCCTTTCGCCTCTTCTGAATCGCTTTCATGAGTTCATATAGCTGTCCCATCTGTTGATCTAATGGATTCTGTTAGTGGCTTAATCGTTTGCCAGAACTCAGGGTAGACAGACCACTCATCTTCTCGACTTTCTCGGGATCCAACTTATCGCCAACCCATGAATCGCCTTCGATTTTCTGAGCGTAGAGTTGCCATTCCGTGAGGAATCCAATCTGAACCATGGTTGTCAGTTTTCGAATGAATTTATTAGGTATGAGGTTCATACTAGATGCACTGGGTTATCGACATTCCTATGGGCACGAAACTCGGCTTTGATGTATTCATCGCCAAGTAAACGCATCTCATGTGGTAAGTGTTTCCGATGAGCTCTAAGTAGACGTCGGTAAAGAGGGATAGGTGGTAACAATGCCATTGGCGCTGGCCTTAGACCGTTTCCTGCTGTCGCTGTAGCCCATAATTTCAACGAAGGTTTCATGGTGAATGTGGTTCGATACATATATTAAACTAGAATAGTGACATCGAAATGCTGTAATGAACGATATACATGTATCTCTTTAGTTGTTAGAATTTAGACCGTACAGTAAACTATAGTTCGATACGGAAAAGTACACTGTGTTAAGTAGCGCATCATACAAATCATACATGCTCACACCATTAGGAATATTCTAAGAGAAACTTCTGAAGCGTTGATATCCTACTCAAATTAAGGACTACACAAAAACTACATGAACAAGCATCATAAATTTAGGGGAGAACCCTAATAGTAGCTTTCACAGTGAATAGACGTCCATCTGCCATGATGTATTATGCTTCTGTAGTACCCGACCAATACCACAACTTCGAATGCGTGCATTTCCCTAGGCGAGGAGCTATACAAATACCTATACTTGTCCTCATCATATACTGTTGGAATGTTGTAAATACAACTTATCTAGAATATCCAACATAACCATGTTTACTATTAGGAGTGGCACATGCGTCCGATCAAAATTATCTAATGGTTTGAAGTCTGCGGGTATGCACCACCGTTTGGTCGCTCAGCTGGTCGCTCTGTACGGTTGTCAGTCTTGTGAATACATAAATAATGTAATGCAATGACTTACCTTAGAACCGATCCTATCGATCATCTTGTTCTGGATGTCAACTTCATTGCCTATAACGTGCGCAGCCTTATTTAGTATAGCGGCATTTCGAGTCATGCTCTCTATTGCATTATTGGTGGTATCTTCGGCTTCGTTGGTTTCTTCATCGTCCTCATCTTCGAACGCGTATTTAGACTTCTCAGCAGCACTTGGTTTCTGATAACCATTGGTCACTGGGGTGGATTCTATCTGTCTAAAAGCGGCTTCCATGCGCTGATTTCCCACGTAGCCGTCTTTACGTGTGGCCTCGCGCAATTCTCGGTCTGCACGATGCTGCTCCAAGACTTTTTGCTCCATCTCTGCTGTCCGCTTCGAGGTCGTGAAAGGGTTCGACACATGAACGGCAAACATGCTCCGATTCAAGCTCTTGAGCTTCTTGGTTGACTGCTCAGCTTCTCTGCTTGCCATGCTTCCCCTGTCAACCAGGCTCTCGGTGTAGTTGAGGCTATCGCTTTGCGCACCAAGACGGGCCACTGTCTGCAGTGCAACACCTACTGCTTGCTCGGCAATACGCGCACCATTCTCAGCTGTTCGAGCTGTAGCCAGCTTTTCATCTTTGATCTGCCGTTTAATATCGTCGACTTCCATTTCTTCTTGTTCTTCTGCTGTAAGTTCGCGCTGCTCTCCATATCCACCATATTTGCTTCCAGAGTCAGCGCCAGATGATCCATATGTTCCATTTTGCTGACCAGTCTGTTGCTGATCAACACGCTCACGAGCCCCGGAGAACAGCGCATCTCTGTTGGCATCCGTATCATTACTGTCGGTTCGACCTAGCCCACCATAACCACCAGTGCGTGCGGCACCCGAGGTCTGCGCACCAGCGTAACCGTTCGAGTTGCTGTATTTACCACTACCATAGCCAGAGGGTGCACCATATCTATCATTGGCATAACCGCCAGCGGAATATGGAGGTGCTGCAGTCGTTGAAGAGTAACCGCTATTAGTACGGGCTGGTGGGACACCGTACCCGTTCTGAGGAGATGGCTTGCTGGGTAAACCATTAGCTGGGGGATCGGGGAGTTGCGCGCGAGCTTTTTGATAGTTTGTCATATGGGCATATTTATTATTATCGGTCATATAAGGATCATTCGCAGGTTGGGATTGAGCATAGGGATTGTCGGACGGGGGTGCCGGAGAGGCCTTCTTCCCAAACAGGGCCGAACGGTTCGCATCGTCATCGCCATCTGCATGCTTTCTTCCGAAGCCGAATTTCCTCATTTTGGCTGCAGATATACCGTGTTGTTCGAGACTTAATTAATTGGTGTGATGGATTGATGAGATGGTTAGAAAGAGGGAGATCTGACAGTTATAGAAGAGGCGAATTATGGGACTGAAGGCGGAAGATGTCTTAGGTTACGTTTCGAAAAGGAGGGTACTAAAAGGGAGTAAAGAAAGCAGATCAGCTGTATCCAAAACAATTCGTCAGTTCCATGCCGCAGCAGTTATCTAGTGGATGGAGTCTCCATATTTTTAAATATTTATGTAGAAGGCGGTCAGGGGCGGTAAAGCTGTCAGCAATTGGGGTGGCAAGTGCTATTTAGCTGAAGAAATGTCTATTCTAAGTTTGGCTTCCGGCTGTTCGTATTGTACATTCGTATTTACATGTATCGATGTACATGTACTTTCCATTAATGTTTATACACTGGATTAGGTAAATATATCTTCATTATGCTCTCATACTATTTCATCCGTATAGGCACATATGTACTACATGAATTAATGATCGTCTCTTGTTCTTGTTTAGCATGTGCGACCCGATATCGTGGGTATCCGATGATTCGTATGGTACGTACCTATATTTTACTGTCCTTCTACTCCAGGTTTAGGTGGATTTCATTAAGGGGCTAAATATTGTGCCAGCAATGCGGCTGCGCGCAACACTAGACGTTTCCACTGGAGTGTTTGGGTGCTTAAGTGCTTACCTCCTGCCACATGGTCTGACATTGAAGAATTCCGGTTAGAAGGCATATGACCATTCTTTATGTAAATACATGCTTTTATGTACATATTTAAGTACTGAGGTGATACATGGGAAGACTGCCCGTGCAAAGTATCCAGTTATTGATTTATGGGGATATATACCTAAAATATCTATAAAAACTGTGCTTGCTATATGTACCCCGGGTGAGTCAGATACTCAATACGAGCTTGTTAGCTGTTGCCAGAGAGCACCATATTATTGAGTTGCACCTTACATCTTCCTACTTGGCCGGTCGAATTTATACCGATGAGTTCTATCACCACTTCACATGAGATATTCACCTAACAACATACCACCAATAACTTGCAGGTCACAATGGCTGGTCTAAATTTACATTAAGATTATTCTCTTACTAACTAGAGAATATACTAAAAACTTATCGTACACATATTTGCGAGCTTTCTAGCTCCAACCTATCGAAGATGATACCACAAATCCATCCTCTTTATACACAGCGAATAGCGCAAGACCATGCAATAGAATCAATACAAAAAACTCCTCATAACGGCAAGCAGACTGTAAATCAAGGATCAAAGGGCTGTGCCTTTAAAAAGCGGTCATAGCTCCCGAAGACGAGGACTATATAACGCTGGAGTATAAACGGGGTTCGACCTGGTTACTTGTTCAGTTCACCCACTTACCAGTGTACATAATTCACCAGGTGACCAAAGTTGGAAATGGCTTCTATATTCACTTTCGATCATGATCCTCCACGGGTGCACTCGCCCTGGCAGTCCGGACAGGACTCCGGAAAGAGGCCTCAAACTGAGCGTTCCGTAACGACCGGCGCCATCGTCGAGGCGGAACAGCTATCGGACCCTCACTTAGAGAGACTCGAAGCAGAGCCGCAAGACGGCCCCATCGAATACAAATTACACCTCTTGCTACGCCCCCGGAGGGTCTATAATAAAATGAGCACTACACTTAGAGTCGCGGGGTCTCAGCAGTCTAGGCCGCTACGAGAATCAAAGCATCCAAGACAAGGTGGTCTCCCCCTCGCCGCTTCAAATCAAACTAGGCAGAATCGCCTCCATCACTTAACCACTCAGCTACTTTGGAGACTGCAGCAGTCATCGCCCTATCATTCCAATGCGAGACGTGAACTTATACTACCGAGGTTACCTGAAGATATTGCCGATCTCGCGGCTCTAGAGAAGCCCCAACAGCTCCTCCCAGGCCTGGAGGAGTCTAACGGAGCATTATATGAAATAGGCGTAGCTGACGATGGGACATTCGTGGGGTTGACTAAAGATGAGATGGATGAGAGTATGACAACTTTAAAAGTCATGGCTGCTAGTCTAGGTTGCAGGGTCGAGGTTCAGCGCATGAAAGCTGTCGGGAACTGCGAGTGGTTAGACAGCACCTCGGGATTGAGTGACAAGGTTCGCATCGCGGATCTCTGGGTGGCAGAAGCACTCGTCATGCCAGTAATGAATACCCAGAGCAACAAGGACGGTCAACAGACAAGTCAACTGGACGTTACGGCTAGGAGAGGTGTTTCGGTCACCGAACAACTCCGGATTTCGCTCATTGGTCCGACAACTTCGGGTAAAACAACACTTCTGGGAACGCTCTCTAATGGTACATTAGATAATGGTCGAGGAAGTAGCCGGATCAACCTGTTGAGACATCGTCATGAAGTCGTATCCGGACGGACTAGCTCTATTGCCCAAGAACTTATCGGTTATGATGATCGGAATATATTTAATTATAACGTTGACAATATCAACGAATGGCCCGATATCCATGATCGTGCAGAGAATGGTCGGTTGGTCTTTTTACTGGACTCTGCCGGACATCCTCGATACCAACGGACCACCCTCCGAGCTCTAGTTGGATGGGCTCCTCACTGGACCCTGCTGTGTATCCCTGCGAATGAAGACGGGAACCCCGCCTCTGGTGTTCACTCACTGTCGGGTGCAGATGGTGCTATAGGAGTTGGGATAGCATCAATGGATCTAGCCATGGCGCATCTTGATTTATGCCTCAAACTAGCCATACCTCTTGCCATTCTGATAACTAAATCCGAGTTAGGGCAGCGTGCGCTACTAAAAGACAAACTGAATATAGTATTCACTAAGGTTAAGGCTATGGGTAGGATACCGAGGCTGCTTACTTCCACGGCACGCGATGAGGATAACCTTACAGAGGTGTCCGAAAACGACATGCAGAAGGTCAAGGACGAAATAATTGATCCTATTGCCAAGTCTACCGACCCATTATCCATTGTTCCGATCGTACTTACAAGCGCTGTCAAGGGTATAGGTATCGGATTGACCCATGCTTTATTAAGAAGCTTGCCGGTTCCGCCTTTACCCACGGCTCGAGACTTTGTCCCCCTTGCTTTGAACCCGGAGCAACCAGCTGCTCTATTTCATATTGACGAAGTTTTTGAAATGTCTTTGAGCCGTGCCCAAAGCATCTCATCTTCTACGTCGGGTGAGAGTGCGCCGGTAGTGACGGGATATCTACGATTTGGAAGATTATCCATTGGCGATAGGGTTGTATTGGGTCCTTTCCCAGGGGAGGATGAAGATGCCGGCGCTCTAGTACCAAAGGATTACCCTTCGCCTGGATACGGCCTGTCGATTCCACATCCATCATCTGCAGAATTTGCCCGGCTTAGTTCTCGTCACACGCTGTCGGCCTCTAAAATCGAGGGCGAATGGCGCCAAGCGACGATTGTAAATATCCGCGACCTGAGACTTCCGGTGCAAACAATCGAAGCAGGACAAGCAGGCTCTATCCAAGTAGTATTTAACGACCTTCCTGAGGAACCATCCGATATTAGCACCACCCTTGAAACTCCAAGGATATCCAGTGCTCGCCTCCGCAAGGGACAGGTCCTAGCGGTGCCTAGTCAACACATGGTTGATACGGGTCTCTCACTCCAAGCCGCCTCTAGTTTGATAGCTTCTTTCAAAACATCGGACGTCAAGCTACTAACCGTCAATAGTCTAGTGAACGCCTACGTGGGAACGGTACGTGCTGCTGTTCGGGTACTAGGTGTAAAGCGCCAAAAGTTCGATTTTAGTACACAGAAGGTCGCGACGGAAGATAATGACGATGTGTTCAATATGAATGACCATATCGAACTTGAGCGTACCAAGTCGGAAGCAGACCTAGACGAGTATCATGCGGAGTATCATGTCTCGCTAGAGCTTCTAAACAACAGAGAATGGATTGAACTAGGGTCCCAGATCGTTCTTGTAGAAGGAGGATCTAAAGATAAGTCGGGGTTCGAGGGCTATGTCGGTCGGGTGATTGAAATTGGAGAATGAATAATAGATAGATATTATGGTAGTTCGAGAGGCCGGCTTTGGGATATCAAAACAAGGACGAGTAGCGATATAGTGATAGCGATAGCGACGTATTTAATATTATTTGAGATTGTATCATCCAGTGCCTTAGGCTAATACATCACGAATGTTCATATGTAGTTGTATCGTACTACCAAACGCCAACCAATGCTCGCAGAAATATAACCGAACCATCTTAGTGCTGCTATGCTCTCACCAGACCGTAAAACAGCGTCCACGTCAATATGTATCCCGCAAGCCCGCTAAAGAGACCGCCCGTCCAGAATTCAAACTGAGTACGGAAATATCTGCTCGTGTCGAAGAGACCATGGCCTGCCTTCAGCGACGTAGGTGCGACGCGGATCGTGTAGAAGAGGACGGTGGTGAGGATAGTGAAGATGAAGTAGAATAGGAAGCCGTTGTAGGATTCGAGGCCGAGGATGCCGGCTGCGGCGCCGAAGATGGATGCAGTGAGGGTCTGGAGGTTGGATAGAGTCTGGTTGGGGAGAGATTGTTAGTATTTTGTTTAGCTGGGAGGGTTATGGGCTGCTGCGTTGAGGTGCGAGCTGGGTATTGTGTGAATGGTTGGTAGACTGACCCTGGAGTTGTTTATGATGGACTCGGGCACAAGGGGTGCGATTTGGAATTCTCGTTCGGTCGGCATGGCTGCGCTAGTTCTTGGCCTATCCTTGTCTGTCTACACTTTTCTTGTCTTTTCTTTCTCTTCCTGCTGTTCCTTCTTGTTGCTCAAGTCCGGCCAAAGTTGGGCGTTTGTGTCGCAGTACGGAATACGTAATGTTGAAGTCGAAGATTTAGTGGAGACGGCATCGGCGAATAGCGTGAGGCTGCTAGCCCCGGGAAGGCGGTTCGAACATAGCGCCTTGCGGAATCTCGCAGGAGCGTTATGTAAGCTGACTTACATGGTGTAAATCTAAGCCATCTTTAACCCATAATATTAAAGAATTGTGAAGCTTCTATAGATTATCATTTAGAGTAGCTTTGATAGGATATTTCTAAATGCTTTTTCTAGTTACACTAGTTTATGTTTGTCAAGTCTATAGTAAGTACTATTATCGGCTATTCAAAGCCGTTTATAACCACACTTTGTTAAAGGTCAAGTAACCTTACCTAAGATACTTCCATGGAGAATGCAGATAAAGAACCCTATTTCTGGAAGACTCTAAGTAGTGCGGTTTGCTATATGATAAACTTGGGTTCATAAACAAATTCGAAACTCATTACGGGGTTTGCACGAGCGTCTAGCAAGTATACGTTACAAATATGCGTTCGAGGCTAGAGCGGTAATTGAGATCCGCCTAATAAGATTTTTGGAGATTCGCATCCATTGAGACGGGATCAATGTCTAAAAATGCTCCTTGCGCAGGGTTACGTAAAAAGGATGTGAATTATCGTAGCTATATATGTTTACTAGCCAGAGAAAATGATATACTATAATTACAAGAACACTGCCTTCTAACGTTGTCACACACAATTCCCATTCTTATCGGAGGAACGGAAAGGACGGGGAAATCTGGAGAAAGTCTACATATGACATTGGCTGAATTAACAGGAGTGTGGCGCCGGGCTTCGTCAACTCACCAGGCGGAGCATAAGCAATCCTGCGGCGGGAAGCAAACACCAAGTAGGATGTCTTTTTAAAGGTCCTCAGAGGAGCATGAACAAGTACATATTCTAATAGCTATTTTCGAGGAGAGCAGCTAGCTTATAGATTGTGAAACGCAATAAGTCCACGGTTAGTTAGCATCACTACTGAATTACAAAAAGACAATTGTATTGCTGAACTGATTCATGTACCTATTGTTTGTTCACTTATGTCACCTGTTGGAAAAGAAAGTTTATAGAAAATGATAACTCCGTAATCTAGATAACAGCATTTATAGATAATACTAGGACACAGCTCCCAGGCCCGTCCGAACAATAATAAAAATTTAAGCAAATTGCAAAAATATAATCAATGACCCCAACCCGATTTGAACGGATAACCTTTCGATCTGGAGTCGAACGCGCTACCGTTGCGCCATGAGGCCGGATGACAGATAAAATTTTTTGCCAAAAAATGATCTATATTGCCGACATTCCAGAGCTTAGCGGGACCATCCGAAAATCATCCTGGGGCTCCATAGTTCGTAATTGGCTACTTCTGAAGGAAATGGAATGATGCTCCTAAATTTACGCTTCCGTCAGATCATTGGTTCATACCGGACCGCAAACGTTTGGCTAAGGCTGACTGCAGACGCTAGACATGCGCAGTGTACGTACGTACATACATGATACATGCAATTCTGCTAGGTTAGTAATTCTGCAGTTCTAAACGTTCCTTCTATGACGAAGCTGCATGTGCACTGAACTGGATACTGCGGACGTTGCTGGATACGGGGGCTCCTATGGGGAAAGCTCAACCCCTGGACGGCCTCTCGGACATTAGGTACTCACTGGGTATCCGTTTGGTACCCGCCTAGTATTCGCGTACTGCTAGGTATACATCTTAGCTACTTGCCTAATTAGATCATTGTGCTACCTTTTAGGGATGTTAATGTTAATCTAGAATGTTAATCTCATGTGTACATGCGAGTCAAATGAACAAAGCACTTGACAAACCTCTTTTCCATTAACTATTCCGTTCCTTTTTACTGTTCCTTTCAGTGACATTGTTCCTTTGCAGCCCCCTCCCCTCCATCTCTTACGTATTCCCTTAGATTCTACCGTCGCTCTTTTTTAATCGAATCAAGCCTTGCTATTTACAGTACGACTAGGTGCACATTGAGCGAATCTCAGCCATCTCGCGCCAGATGGACGCGATCCTTCGTGCGACACTTACAATTACATGGAGACTCACGTAGATGAGGGCACGCCTTTGAGCAACTACCTCGAGGGTATGTATGCCAATTCCGTGTTATACCTTGGCACTTCAATTTCGTCGCTAGAGCATCCCTCCTTTGGCGGCCGAAATGCCCGGAGCTCCCACAGTCCTAATTATAGTTACAGGCACGGGGGAAAGAGAAGAAACTCAGTGGCAGGAACCCGACGACGATAGGAATTATGATACCTCGCCATCATCAAGCCCACCGCGAGAGTTCGCCCCGAGAGGGTTTGCTAAAGTCCGGAAGAGGTTTCGGGAGCATCTCCCTAGACCCCTGCGTATCGATTCCAACAATATCCCATCCCGTCTCAACTTAGACGAGTTCCATAACCATGCCTCCCCTATACTCGATGTGTTACGGCTGTTAGTCGAAGCAGTAACTTCATCTATCGATCATGCTCGATCGATCGGTTTCCTTGAGCGGCTGCGCCTCGCAATCATACAGTCCCAACTTTTAGACAACCCCTTAGTATTAGGCTATCAAGCCTCGGAAGACCCTGCGCTATCGCAACCGGCTGGCGAGCCAAACTTCCATGGGATTACAGTTTCCGGCGCCGTCGCCGCTGTTGTGTTCGGCTTCGGTACGGCATTACTCGTCCGTTGGTTCTCGCTGGAAGGGTTTATGCCAACATGGAGGGGGTCAATAGCTTTCGTTGTGGTAGTGTCTATAACGTCCCTAGTCGCGAGAGCATACATACGAAGGCAGATTTTAAGAAATATCCAGAAGCAAGGACTATTAGAAGCCTCGACATTTTTCTCGCTCTCCCGAGAGTATGACTGCGCAAACAGTGCAGCATTAAACTTCGTGATGGAGGTGGAATTAGTCGCCCGTGGATATCGACTGTAAGTCTATTTTGCTCCTGAATGCTTAGTTTAACTGGCTAATCTATAAATAGGAGCACACCCATCCCCCCTATTAGTCGACTAGAGAATAATGGGCAAAACGTCAAGTGTCTTCAGCTTAGGAAAGCCCTCCGAAACAGCTTGACGGAAGTCATTTCTAAATATTACCAAGTGGCCTTTACGATTTGGGCATTTGCGGAACAGACCGAACTGCTGCAGCTGCAATCCCAGTATCAGTTCACAGTCGCCGATGTGGTGGAAAGGTTTCAGGTGTTTTCAAAAACTGATGCCCAGGATGCCGAGAAGTTGCAGCCTTTAAAAGATGCCGCATTCCTCTTCCACGATATTCGGAAGATGTTTCTGAGCGGCCTGCTTGCTCTTCACACCGTCGGCAACGATTCTGACCGACTTCGTTTTACGACTATATTAGAAGCGTTTGAGGAATTAAACACGGTCACGAAGCAAGCTTATACGCGGGTGAGGGATATCCTGGCTGATAATGACTGTAAGTGAGCTCTACAAATTTCCTTAACTGCTGTTTTCTAATAGTGGAATTATAGTCCCAATTCCCAAAACTCCTCGGAGTCCTGAGACGCCTAGTCATGATCGATGGCGCCACCAAGTCCGCAGATTGAATTCGATGACTATGAATATCCGCAGTGTGCAGGCTAAATTGCATCTTCTACGTGAGGAGTCATCCAAGGCTTTGAACGAGGCTGATGATATTACCGATTTGGGGCCATTGTTCATGGCCCAGTACGAGTCAATCGGGCAAGATCTACGGGATCTAATGGAAGCATGGCAGACAGGAAAGGCTTCGCTAGCGTCTGGTATCGATAGAAATGAGAAACGTCTATCATCTATGGGCTCTACGCTCATGTCTCCCCTAAGCACGATGAGTGGACGGACTATAGCGGAAGAGGATGAAAACAGCCAGGACGAAGGCGTTGCTGACGCATACAAGAAGCTTACTGGAGGATCTTCGCCGCCGTCAGAGCCGGAGCCAGAAGTATTCGAGGCCATATCGATTCCTCGCCCAAAGAGTTTATTCACGCGGGAAGAGAGGATAATTAAGATGAGAGAGGACCGCAAATCTAAAGAAATTGCCAAGGCGAAGGCCGAGGCCCAAAGGGGCATGATGCGAGAGCTGCAAGGAGTATTAGAAAGGAAGCCCGGACTTGGTCGAGTCTCTCTTTGAAATTTTTCGTTAACACTGTATCATTTCGACAAACAGCACCAGTTGGGCCCAAGGCGCGGGTAACGATTAGATTATGAACTGGGTCATCGGTTGCAATATGGCGCATTTGGGATAGAGAGCGATCCGAATCGAAGTTGACTTCGTCATGGCGTTTGCTTTAATTGGGTTTGGGGGGGATTTACTGCATAAGAGAGCTGGTCATCCATACGATCTTTGCCTATAATGTCTTTTCTATGTTGCGAGTACATACACATAAATCAGTCGCCTTGCTAGGCGTATACATAAGGTACATACATAATAAAACCTCACTTGAGAAGACACAATGAAGACTGTTTCGTACGACGTGAGTGCGAGTTAGGGGTACTTCGTACATCACAATGAGAGCTATGGCTGGCCCCTTAAAGATGTTGGTAATTGATTGGCTGATTGGATATGTACCTAGGTACATAGTGTAAGTACCAGACATACCGCTATTACAGGTACCTATAGTTTAAGGTGGGGCGTTCGCGCGTCTGCCTTCAATTAAAGACGCGTCCAACCACTCAACGCGTCTCCGTTCCCGAGCTTATCCCACTAATTTCTAGAATTGTATTTCTTGCCAAATATTCTTCAGCATAACCAATTTTAGGGTACCTTCTCGACAACAACCTCAGTTACGAACAATTCTTACGGCAGTAATCACATCTCGAGTCTTCCTTTTACCGATCTATATTCGTCGCTCCCAGATACCCAACTTTATTAACACCCTATTTTATTATCTTTCTGTCTAAAATTAATCACCATGTTAGAGGCACGACTCGAGCAGGCCCAGATCCTGAAGAAGGTCTGTCTACCCAATTGTGTAGTTTCTACTATCAATCAAGCTGACAGATTATAGGTGGTCGATTCCATCAAGGATCTGGTGCAGGATTGCAACTTCGACTGCAATGACTCGGGCATCGCGCTGCAGGCCATGGACAACTCCCACGTCGCCCTTGTGTCGATGATGCTGAAGGCCGAAGGCTTCTCCCCTTACCGCTGCGACCGCAACATTGCCCTCGGCGTAAACCTCGTCTCCCTCACGAAAGTTCTACGTGCAGCACAGAACGAAGATATCCTCACATTAAAGGCTGAAGATGCGCCCGATTCCCTCAATCTCGTCTTCGAGAGCAGCGAGAACGACCGTATCAGCGAATACGACTTGAAGCTCATGGATATCGACCAGGAGCACTTGGGTATTCCCGAGACGGAGTATGCTGCGACTATCTCTATGCCCTCGTCTGAGTTTAGACGTATCTGCACGGATTTGATGGCCATGTCTGAATCTGGTAAGTAGCAGTTATGCTCTTCTCTCGATTAGAGCTACGTATTGTGAAGAGAATATGGCTGACGCGTATAAGTGACGATTGATGCTACCAAGGACGGAGTCAAATTCTCCTGCAACGGTGACATCGGCAACGGTGCTGTTACCCTCCGAAGCCACCAGAACGTCGACAAGCCCGAACTGAACATCGACATCGAGCTCACCGAGCCGGTCGGCCTCACTTTCTCCCTCAAGTATCTAGTCAACTTCTGCAAAGCCCAGGCTCTATCCACTACCGTCAAGATCTGCTTATCCAACGAGGTGCCCCTTCTAGTGGAGTATGGACTGGCCGGCAGCAGTTACCTGAGGTTCTACCTCGCTCCCAAGGTATGTGATACCACGAGCCCTGATGCTATATCTGACACGTTACTAACAATGAACTTATAGATTGGTGACGAAGAGTAAGAAATTAAGCAAGACAGAAGCTAATGAGAACTACGAATATACCACGTCGATATTTGGAGGTGGTAGACTACCACGAGACTTGCGATGGAATTTCTCGTGCTCTACGAAATGGATACGAATGAATACCGTATACAAAATGTCAATTGCATTATTAGTATAGGGCTTCTTGGACGGCATTAGCTTTAGATGCAGTATCAATCCATAGCTTGCGAGGCGATTAAGGACGAGATAGGCAGATTAATGGGCTTTATAGCCCTAATATAAATTCATTTTCTTACCCAACATGGGGCTAGAACATTGAAGTTAGCTCGTGCTAGTATTGAAGTTACAATACTGAAATAGATTAGATGTACATACCTCACGTACACCATCTGCGGTGACAGGTGACAGGGACTGCAGGGAGCAACTCAAAGAAGCTTAGTGCGGGGCTATCCGTCATGGCGGGGCACTTCGACAATCGTAGAACTCAGCTTTTCAATGGTCACTTATCGGAAGAGAGTCATGCGCCTTATTGTCCTCGGCACTCGGCGGAGGTTATATTATTATCATGGCTTCCGTCTGAATCCTCCGCTCTTTCCCTGATGCTTACTCTTTTGAACGGCCTTGTGGAACGTAACCAAATACTCGACTTCCTCTAATACACTTACACAATTCACATCGTCACCTTCCTACCAACCAACCGTCCGCATGAGTGCCGAACCACCGTTCGTCCCAGAGACGAGCGTCTTAGCCGTCGCCAGCCATGTAGGGAAAAGCCAATGCTTCTAGCAGTCAGTTTCCTATTTTCTAGTAGCTAATATCCCTTTTTGAAGGTTGTCTCGGGGTGAGAGTTTTAGATTTACCTATACTACCAAGTTCGTCGACGACCCTTCCGTTAACACCAGATTTCCGTTGGATAGGAACGTAGGCAATAAGATCGCCGTATTTGCGCTACAGTCTATGGGCTGCGATGTCTCTGCTATGAATACCGTGCAGTTCAGTACGTACATACTTGTTAATCAGTATCCCATAGTCGAGTATACTGTGTTTTCTAACATGAGTGTCAAATGCAAAGGCAACCATACGGGTTATAAGCAATGGAAGGGCACGCGCGTGTCAGCGCAGGAGATCACGGATCTGTGGGAAGGTCTCAAGCAGTCATACCTCGATAACTTCGATATGATGCTCTCGGGGTACGTTCCCGGGGCAGCCGCCGTCGAGGCAGTCGGAAACATCGGAAAGGAGCTCAAGCACAAGTCGAAGACCCAAAAACCAGGAAGCTTCTTCTGGGTGCTAGATCCGGTAATGGGTGACAATGGCCGCCTATATGTCGCGGAGGATGTCGTCCCTGCGTATAAGAACCTGATACAATATGCCGATCTTATCTTACCCAATCAGTTCGAAGCTGAGTAAGTCCATTGCCTTTCATATGTACATTTCTTTCCTAGGTAGACAGATGAAGGTCTTGGTAAATTTACGTCTGGGAAATGGCAGTTGAGAAAGGAGTGGGTGTATGTTAGCTAACAAGCCCCTTTTTCGGTAGACTCCTTTCCGGCGTGAAGATTACCGATTTTGCCTCTCTTGAGAATGCGATTCGAGTTCTACATCAAGACTTCGGCGTCCCTCATATCGTTATTACATCCGTGTCCTTACCGTCCGTCAACTCATCTCCTTCTACGGAGACAACCCGTACCATGTCAGTCGTGGGTTCGACCATGACTTCGGACCGACAGCCACGGCTGTTCAGGATCACGTTCCCAGTGTTTGAGTGCTACTTCAGCGGAACAGGGGACATGTTCGCGGCGCTGATGGTAGCCCGCATCCGCGAGGCGGTAACCAACTACGACAAGCAGAGCAACGGGAATGGAAACGGACCCCTAGTGGAAAAGCTCTCATGGCTTAGTCCCGACGACGTTGATGCTCTGGACCTGCCGCTCGCGAGAGCGGCAGAGAAGGTCCTGGCTAGCATGCACGAGGTTTTAGATCGTACGTGTGCGAGCTTAACGGCCGAGATGGCAGAGAAGCAGAAAGACAAAAATCTAGACGAGAAGGCACTACATCTTATAAAGTCGAGGGCTTCTGAACTGAAGCTCGCGAGAAATCTAGGGAGTCTACGTAACCCCAAGGTGGAATACCGCGCGGAAAAGATGTAAATAAACTTCGGTATTGTATTGAGAAAAGAGGCCAGGCTAGATTTGTGGCATGTAGGCATTAGGCTACCTATACTACACCATAGAATAGAAATGTCACTAGATATCACTAGAAATAGGATTGAATAGGGTTGTGCTGTAAAAGATTCGTTGTCTGGTTTGAAGATGTGGGTTTTAGAATGTTTGTTGTAGAATTTATATTCATGCCCATCATATCTCATCCTCTATACATGGATGAGCTAGGCCTCTCCTTCCCCTTTGAAAGAGTCTACCTTAGGTACATATCTATGTATATCCCATCTATTTGATTGGCTAATCAGTTGACTGGCGAGCTCAACCAGATTGCCAGTGGCCGTCTATCAGTACCGTCTAAGTCTTCTTTCGTATACCCATCGTATGTGTATCATACCAAGCACACCGTACCCCTCCATACTCCAACCCCAAGCAACAACATCAACATCCTTAATTCGTCCCCGTGCTCCCAAACCCCCCCGCCCCCCGCACACTCTCCTCCAGCTCCTGCACCTCCAGCACCTCGGGCGTGTAAATCCGCTCGACCACGAGCTGGGCGACGCGGTCGCCCTCGGCGACAGCGAAATCCACGTCCGAGTGGTTGAACAGCAGGACCTTGACCTGGCCGCGGTAGTCGGCGTCGATGACGCCGGCGCCCGTGTCGATGAAGTGCTTGGCGGCTAGGCCGGAGCGCGGGGCTATGCGGCCGTAGGTGCCGGCGGGGACGGCGATGGCTATGTCGGTGTCGACTAGGGCTTTGCCGCGGGAGGGGATGGTGGTGGGGCGGGCGGCGTAGAGGTCGTAGCCGGCGGAGAAGGGGCTCCCGCGGGTGGGGAGTTTGGCGGCTGGGGAGAGTTTTTTGATTAGGAGGGGGGGGGATTGGTTGAGGTTGGGGACGGGGGGGAGGGTTGTGGTTGTGGTGGTGTTGGTGTTGGTGTTGGAAGACATTGTTTCGGCGGTGGTGGTGGTGGTGCTGCCGGTGTTGCTGGTGGTTGTCGTAGCTGTGGTTGTGGGAGTAGGAGTAGAAGTGGTTTTGACTCTTTTCGCGGGCGGTGAGGTTGGTGGTGATGTTATGGATGCAGTAGTGGTCATAGTCTTGGGACTTTAATAAAGTAATAAAGTAGATAATTTAGAAGGAGAAGTCTATGCAATGTTTGCTTGAACTGCGTATGTAGTTTGGCAATTGGGTTTGTGGGAATCGGGTTGTAGCAGTTGCGGTGAAGAAATATTTACAACTGCAGCGGAAAGTGGGATATACTTACCACGTAGCGGTGGGACGCGGGTGCGGCGACGCGTTGAGGGGCGTTTAGGGAAGGGGATTTGATGCTAATTGGCCAATGGCTACCTAGACAGCGTACTGTACCTAGTGTATAGGTTGGATCAGGATGCCAAGAATTTACATGTATGTACCCTAGGTACCTAGGTATCTCCGTAGGTGCTGTCAACCGTGATACATCATTCTTCGTTTCCACCATCTTGGAATCGTAGATATATCACAAATGGGAAAACGCGGAGGTGCATTGTTCTAAATTTGTCTTCGGTGTTCGTGTAGAATAATGGTAGTCCTTAAGACGCCACCTAAGTTGATCTTTTAGGGCTCTCCTTTTCGAACCGAGTAATTGAACTTAAACCCTCTAATCTTTACATGTGTAGTTATTGAGCTTAATTATAGAGAATACGCCTCCTAGCTTAGTTTAATAGCTATATGTGAGGTAGTCTGTGCGGTGTCTTGCATTTGTATGTACATGAGTAAATCGTGAAACCGGAGGCGAAAGCTTGGGCATGTTATTCATCCAAGTCTTTACCAAAGTCGATTAGCCGGAGCTTCGTAGAGTCTCTAGGGTGAAACTGCGCAACTTTAGACCTGACTAGGAACCTTGCAGCTGCTGTCTCCCTAGGAAGCTGGACGTAGGCAGCTGAACTATCACCGTCGGACTGTGCTAAGGCGTTGAGTAGTTCCTCTGTTAAGGTGCGCATCTCCTCACCCGCGGCCGCGGCTTCATCCCGGCTGCCCGCCTTAGCTCTCTCTGTTGGCTCGCCATCCTCTCGTATACCCCATATCTCGTCGATGCGTCTTTGTCGTTTATCCTCATCGGGATTCTCCTTTGCCTTTTTCAGTTTGCCCTGAGAGCTAAATCCTGCAGCAAGATCAGACCCATCGATATCCATGATATCGCCAACAACAGGGCCTCCGAGCTCTTCGGCGGCAAGCATTCCCGCAAGATGCTCATCGATAAACTTCCTCAGCGCTTTAAGAAGCTTAGAAGTTTCCTTATCGTAGTACCTTTTCTTTTGCTTCAGCTCGTTTATCCGTTCTGCAGCTATGTCCTCCGGTCCCATCTCCATTCGACTTTCCAAGCCATCTCGCAGCGATTGTATGCGATTGCGCAAACTCTGCGGAAGGGCTTTCTGATCTTCGAGATTGGACTTCTCCACCTCGAGTCGTCGCTTAGTCTTCTCAACCGAATCTTTATGAGAGGCTAAATAGGCCTTTGTCTCCTCCACAGTCTGGTGGGTTTTGCGGAGTGCTAGAAGAGCGGGCAATACAGATTCCGGAAATGGAAGGAATGGTGTTTGCGATGCCAACTCATCGTAAGCTACCTTCATGATATCCCACGGCGCTGTTGGCGGGTAAGACTGGCTTGTGCGATGCGCACTTGGAGTAGCGCGCAGCTCATTTAGCGCGGCCTCATGCTCTCTGACTCTCTCCTGAAGCTCCCGCACCGTAGCTTGGAGATGGGACGTGTGAAACAGATCTGAGTCGTCGCTAAGACGCGCTCCGCTATCCATTTCTTCGTTGAAGTATTTGATGATTCAGTATGCCAAGACAGAGCCTCTAATATATTGGGAAACTATACTTGGAGCAGGATAAAATGCGGTTGATGTCTTGCAGCTTGCAGTTCGTAATAGGCGTGTGTAGGTATATTTCCATATTGCAGAAAATATGCAGCTAGCAGTGTCCAGCTAAGAGCATGGGTTCAAGGGGATGCCAAGAAATGCAACGCAGGCCAAGTGCCGATGGATCTGCGGCACAAACAATCCTGAAGCAGCTCTGATTGATTAATACTAATTCTAACGAATATACTAGCTACGTGCAATATATTAGTATAATATCTTGGGAAAAGCTTTTTTAACTTAACAATATACAATTGACATTAATGAATTCTTTTATAATAAAAACTTAAACTAGAATTGACAGGTTTAAACTTCCGAGATAGATAATAGTAAAAATAGTAAGAAAACTACACACTAAAAGGAATTGGCACTAATGTTCCTGGTGTACACGGTGTGTTGTACGACATAACATACGTACATATGTATGTACAGTAGGCTGTAGCAGAGTGAGATAGCCGGAATGAGAATAACATACTTTGTTGATGTACAAGAAAATTAGCGAACAAACACGATAATAAAAAGTACACTACAGAATATACATGTGTAGGTACCCAACATACTGACGAGGCTGATGAATAGGTACCATATTAGGTAAAAAAGGCTCACCGTAATATGTAGCAGAGTGCAAAGTGCAGAGTGCAGAGTGCAGAAGCGAAGCTGAATTCAAAGACGCACAGTACATAGCACTAGAGCCAATTAGGTGGGAATCCATGACGCTTGGACGTTACCTCCCTAAGATTTTTGTGTGGAGGAGCCCCATTAGTTACATAGGTACCTAAGGCAAGTACCTTTTGCAAAAGCAGCAAAGCAGCCGTGCCCACTGTCGGTAAGTTAGATCTTTCTTGCATTCGAGTGAGACAACCTTTATGTAGACAACCTCCAACCTACAACACGCATCTTGCCTCCTTCAATTCAATCTTTATCCTCCCCCCCCCTTTCCGTCCTTCTTCGCAAGACGTATCACCCCCCTATCGCCTGCGTTGCGAACTTAGCACTGCACCTGTTTTTTTCCTGCCCCTTCCCCCCCCCCTTCTATTACTATATTTTACGTTTAATTCCCCCATCGTCCCGCCTTCTCCCCCCTTGTTGAGGCTTGTTGAGGTAGTTCGCAATCAAGCTTCTCTTAAAAAGAGACAACAAGCGTCTATCGCTTATAAAAGCCTCCTTTACTGCACCTATCCGCAGCAGGAGGTGATTTTTATAATCGCTTTGGCGCATCTCAGTTCGCCTCGAGACCCCAAACGCGACGCGGGTCAACCTGTCCTCCACCGCCCTATCAAAGGTATTACCTGCTGGAGAGGCAGTTTCTTCTCAGAAAAGGTGCAGGCGTAAGAAAGCTTAAGAAAAGGAAATCGGCATCGAGATATTATCTGCCTAAGGTGTTTCCTGTTTGACGGAGTAAAAGGTTTGAGAACTGACTACGTCTCTGATCCTGCCACTTCTTTCCAATCCACCACTCCTACTTCGTCTACTTCGTCCGTCCTTCCATACTCTACCGCCGACTTGATCACCACATATTCGTCTTGGTCAAGCTAGCAATCCTCTACCTCCATCAAATCGCCCTCAGCTACCGTCAGGTCATCACCATTCTCGTCCTACCAATATTCCGCCTTGCAACACGAGCGTCCAGGTCCCAGCCGGATCTCTCATATCACTCTTCTCGTTATTCCTGTCGTCACCTAACCTGACGATTCCGATCTCGTTCCATCATCGACCCTACCTTTCAAGTCCGACCTGACCTCTAGATCCCGCATACAAATATTCATCAACTTGAGGGTACTTGAGCCATATCACGTCCCGAACCACTGCACCTGCACGTTTTCCTTCGAAAACCCTCAAGGTGTAAATAAAAAAGAAGTCGATAATTCAATCTCAATTCGACCGTCTAAAACGGCCTACCGTAGCGTCCGCTCAAGAGTGAACAAGTTCATAGAACAATATGTCTGCCTCGCCTTCTCACCCTACTAATCCGGCTAAACGCCCTCTGGAGGATGCCTCCTCTCCTTCCCGGGGCAATGATCAACCCGAAGCCAAACGGCCTGCCCTTGACAAAGTCATCAACAACGGAGATAATGACAAGGATATTGAGCTTCCTGAGAGCAATGGTGATGGTGTCTCGGTACCGACTGGAACTAATGGCACAGCCAAGCCCGAGGATACCAATCAGGACAAGGCTGAAATCAAAGATGACCAGGGCGATACTGTCGTACCTGATGTTGAGGAAGCCAAGTCCGCTGTAGACGCCGCAGTTTCCGGTCCTACAGGCGTGTCCGGTGCCGCCGCGACCAACACTCACGATGAGACTACATGGATTCATATCCGTGCTGTCATCTCCAGCCCTGAAGCTGCTACCATCATTGGTAAAGGTGGCGAAAACGTTTCTAATATCCGGAAGCTATCTAGTGCCAAGTGTACCGTTAGTGATTACCAAAAGGGCGCTGTAGAACGAATACTTACTGTTAGCGGAGCTGTTGAGGCTGTGGCCAAGGTATTTAACCAACCACTAATCTTGTATCATTTCTAAACCCCCGCTAACATTGCCTTTAGGCGTTCGGTTTGATTATCCGGACCTTGAACAACGAGCCTCTGACGGAGAAATCCAACGCTCAGTCCAAGACATATCCTCTTCGACTACTCATCCCTCATGTGCTTATCGGGTCCATTATCGGGAAAGGCGGTGCCCGCATTCGTGAGATTCAAGATGCTTCAGGAGCGCGGCTCAATGCCTCTGACTCGTGCCTACCGCTATCTAGCGAGCGTTCCCTCGTAGTCATGGGCGTAGCTGACGCTGTTCATATTGCTACTTATTATGTAGGAAGCACGCTCCTCCAGCAACTTAACGAACGCTTCGGCGGCCCCGCCGCGTCGGCCTATGCCACTCGGAGTGGCGGTCCCACCGGCGTCGTGCCCGGAGGAATGCAAGTGGTTCCGTACTGCCCTCAACCCGCTGGCGGCAACTTTGGTCATCGCGAAAACTACGGTCGACGACCCGATCCCCGAGCCCATCACATGCCGCCGGCGCCGTATACGCAACCCTACCACCCGCACGCGGCCACGCCGCAACCTAACCCGAGTGTGCCGATGCACTACGCACCCCAGGCAGCTGGATATGGTGCCGCACCGCACATACCGCCTCACCACGCTCCTCATGTGGGTGGCCCCCATCCTCACGGCGGTCCTCCAACTCAGCCAATGCACGGCGCTGCTATCGCAGGAGCGCCAATGACCCAACAGATCTACATTCCCAACGACATGGTTGGTGCCATCATTGGTAAGGGTGGTCAAAAAATCAATGAGATTCGGACAATTAGCGGCAGCGTGATTAAGATCAACGAGCCGCAAGATAATAGTAATGAGCGGCTAGTAACAATCACGGGAACCGAAGAATGTAACAGGATGGCACTGTACATGCTCTATTCTCGACTGGGTGAGACACCTAAAGCACCACGTGGCCGCGCGTAACAACCGTCAACAGCACTAATCATAACCATGGCGAGCAGAGAGCGAAAAGCACCGTATCTAACGATTTATAAAAAAATTATCCCGCCGGCTCTCAGCGTCGTTCTCGAGTTTTTCTTGTCGCATGGGGGCATTTTGTGTTTCAGCACATCGCGTTCATTATTATCTGGTTCAGAACCTCTTTGATGCATCGCCCCGGGGAGGAGGAAGGTCACAGGAGAAGGTGGCGTACATGGCTGGGTTGCTGGTAGCTTCATGTGATTTTTAGGTAGTTGGGCAATCAGATCTTGGTCTTAAAAGCGGTAGTTCCGCTTGATAGCGGCAGGCGGACGGACGTTAGCGAGATGATAAGCTATCACATCTCATACGATCTCTGCGTCTTTACTGGCAGATAACAAATATATGCTCTTCGAATGGCTACTCAGTCGTCCTATACCTCACGTGCCTTGTTACCCCTTAATATCATTGTCGTTATGAGTCCATGAGTTCTATATCCATGGCGTGATGGTAGTATATGTTAGCCTAGTTACGTTCGGTAGGAGAAATGTGCCAGTTCCAGATCAGTCTTTTCAAATGATTAATATCGGTACTACCATTCTCTTACGAAGACTCCTCGTGGTTTAGGGGTTTGATCAAACATGAAATTAAGTATGCATAGACGTAGGCAAGTAAGTGCTGGCTGGCTAATCGGTGAGGAGAATGTTGAGACGATACGACGATTAGCATTTCCGTTGTCTATGGCATCCGATCCAAGGAGTCTCTTAGGTGCCATGATTAGCAGATAACAAGTTACGATTATCGAAGAATTTTTCCGAATTCTAAACTGGACCATGAGCATTTGATATGTGATATGTTCGACAAGTTTTACATGAAGGGCAAGTTGAGATGAATATAGACTATAAGCTACACCGGCAGCAAAAAAAGCATTGCAAAGGCTTTCGAGCAGAAGTAATGCTAGGAATTAGTCTGTCTAGACTGACGGGTAAGTTGCTTAGCTACTTGGAATTGACTCGCTCATAATGGGCAGTGAATAACTTCTGGATATGCTATATAGTTATCCTTTTCCTTAGGTATGGGTATTTCCCGAGGATTGTCATGGGAATATCGCTTTTTAGGTAACCCTGCCTATTTATATCACAGGAGTATTAGATTTTGATAGAACACCCCCCCCAGATGGTAAGGCCTGCTAGGTCAAAACCATCATGGAGATGAGGGCTTTTAGGTCATTATTAGACGCTCACGTGCACGCGCGAATGAAATGTCAGGTACTTTTCCATTATTGACATGAATAAATTTACATATCTAGTCATTAGTAAACCCTCGTTCCCTAAAGGCGACTCGACCGAACTTATATATGTTAACCTAGTATAAAAGGTTGGCATTAGACACTCGTGAGTTAACTGTTACGTGGACGAGTAATGGGATCCTAAGATATATCAATCCGAGTCCCGACATTTACATCGTATACGCCATCTAGTTCCAGTAGGTCTAGCAGAATGTCTACCTACCCGAGGAACTTAATCAATGCTTGATAAAGTAATATGTGTTGTTCGTACGTAAGTCTATATAATGCGAATTGTGTCACGTGTGATGTTAACTGTCATGGGCATGGATGAACCGACCTCGAGTAGGTTGGTTTCGAATAGAAATAATACTTTGTTCCAAATAAAGGAGATGCAATAACGTATGAATGGAGCATATGTTATTTCTAGGGCAGCTTCATCATGGAGGTACGGGTTTCTACGGCGTCCTGCTGGGCTGACATAGTTAGAAAAGGCATACCTTTATTATTGTCTGTATCATGTAGCACCCAACTAGCCCGAGAGAATGGCTGAAGGGGTTTTATATCACAAGCAAACATGCATTTAGCGCGGAAGGGATACCGCGGAAGGGATACCGCGGGAGGAAACATAATATACGTAGTTGAAATAGTCATATAGAAACATGCTATTCTCCCCCCCCCCCCCTTCGGGAGATATTAGATATATGGGGGGTTAATCGGGGATAAACTCTGTGATACGTGACATATCTCTTGCCTTGCATTCATTGTTGCAACCTCGAATTAACAATATAAGACGTAATGTACTCATTAACCCTAATGGAGCCTTCTTCATGTAAGTAAGACGAACTCACATAGGTAAGGACTCTTCTAGTAAACCAACAACGCATACTATACTATACTAATTAGGTGACATATCACACGTTAGTGTGTGACTGGCAATACTACACCTTGGGTATATTACAAGGCAGAGAACGACAAAGCTTCGCATATTGCTAGTTTACATGATTCTCCCCGGGACGCACGAACCTTCATCGTCGGACATTATGTATACTGAAATTTTAAATCTCCCTCCCTTACATCTCGGTTCTCCTCAGCCCTACGCCACCACACATGGAAAGTGTACCTACCTATGTACATACATACATAGTATAACTATACCTACCTTAGGTACGTTCTAGACTTCTCGCTAACCGCCCCGTCCCCCTAAACAGCCAGCCAGCCAACAGCGGAAGGCGGTCAGCACTAGAAGACATTTGTATTTGTGCGGCTGGCAGGGGGCGCGCAGCGAAGGATTCCTCTGGCTTGCTAGGTGAAATTGAATTGAGTTGAATCGATCAATCAAATATTGTTCGCTTATACATCTGGCCTAGCTTAGCAGCCGTCTTAGGCGGTGTCGCACACGGACAGGCAAACCTAGTACTATTATTTCTTCGTCTCACGTTGTACTTTTACAAGTTTGTTTTACTACTGTGTATTGACATATAGAATATATAGAGGTTATGATAGGTGGCACTGAATATTGGTCCAGAGCATATACACTTATACAATAGTACGTAGGGGCTGAGCGGGACGCAAGGGACGTGTGGATGTGGCTCACGACAGCGCGAATGGTACCGGTAAGCCAGACGTGGCAAGCAGCAAACAAACCCCAAATTGAGATGTCATTCCCGACATCTCTGTTATAGCGGAGTGGAGTTGGGTTCGATGACGTGAACGGCAATGTCACGCAGGTATTACCCAATTTACAAAAATGTGCAGTGCGTACGTATCTAATAGTGTATGTATGTATACGCTATATCTAAGCAATGGGTCCCAATGCAATGTCATCAACTAATTTAGTACATATCTGGGTCGAGCCAAGAAAGCTTCACGCAGCCTTACGATGGATGGATGATCTGTCGTGTCGTGTAGAGAAATTAAATCGAAAAGAGGCTGTAAAGCCATCGAGAGCCACGATGTAACAAGAAGAACACGGCGTGTAACGTAGACTGTTAAAAGCCGAAGTTGAAAAGCCGAAGTTGCTTCGGCCCCTTTTCCCCTTCTACATAGAAGAGTCGGACGATTAGCCGAAAGTCCTAGGCTGGGTAATTAATTATATGGTATGCGGTCTGCGGTAAGGTAGGTATTACCTAATAGCCGCTATACCAGCCTAAGGCTTTAAAGCCGTGCTGCAAAGTGCCTAGCTACTGCAGGAAGTTGCCTTCCTAGATGAGCCGACGGGCGCCAGAAACAATTGCCCACGTTCCGCGCAATCCTTTTTTGCTAATTTGTTAAATAAGTTTCAGTTTGTTTCAAGCGCCAACTTTATGTATTAGTGAAATTGAGTCTTTAAATGTCTACGTAGGTACGTACGTACTAAGGCATATACTAATCTATACTTAGAAAAAGTAATTATTTGAATCTCAACTCAGCCTTGGACTTCGAGGGTATCAAATGCATGCACATAGCAAATGGCCTACTCGCCAGCTCGCATAACCAGCACTGCATCGTGACCACGCCCTACTCCAATTACTCGATCCAGGTTATTTACGGGTTATTAAATGGGCCATGTCACAACCAACAGCCCAGGTCCCAGGTCCCAGGGGATCGAAAAGCAGGCTTTTTGCATGCCCCTTTCGCTAATTCGTTAGGTCTTCCTTCGCGAGGGTCTTGTAATTTACCCTTTCTAGAACCCATGTAACACATTGGCCAGTCAAATCGACGCGAGTTGGACTTTAGGGGCAGGTGGGCTGCCTTAAAGTGGAGATGCCGTCCAGGTGAAGTCCAGTGAAGAAATCTTGGCAGGCGGATATCCATGTAGTTCTAGGCAGCTGGAATGTATCTTTGCTTGTTTATTTGGCCTGCGAGATACCTGTCGCGCCTTACAGTGAGACACGAAGAGATCTACCCCGTCGACTAGGGGATCGCCTAGGGGACATACCATGCATGACTGGACTGACTGCCAGGTCTGTCAGGCACATTTGCTGATTTTGCTGTGGTATGGGGTTGGAAGACCTCATTTTTACTGGTTCTAAGTGGTTCGGCGGAGAGGATTTAGCCAAGTTGGAAGCAGGGTACCTATCGCGCTGCGAGCTGTGCCTCTCTCAGTTGTCCCCAGTTGTACCTGGTCGATTCCTAGTCAGTCCCTCTTAGTCAACTGAATATCGTCCACCATTTTATCTCACGCTCTCCTGCCCTTTTTCTTCTTTTCTTCTTCCTACATCCAGCCGCAAACTTCCAAGTCGTCTTCAGACTCCCACACTCATTTTTTAATATTCGCAGCTCAGCCTAGCTCGCGTCAGCCCAACGGCAACTTTCACTCTTTTATCAACCCGCTCCCTTCTCGGTACCTGTGGTTTTTAGTAATTCCAACTCTCTTCACCAACATAATCAAGATGCGTTCTACTACCGCTTTCGCCTCTGCCTTGGCCTTTGCTGCCTCGGCCTTCGCCCAGACTCCTGGTTACGCCGTCCTCACCTCTCCTGCTGATGGTCAGCAGGTCGCCTCTGGCAAGACCTTCACCATCAAGTGGGAGGCTGGCCAGTACACTGGCCCTGCTACCATCACCCTTCTCGGTGGTGAGACTCCTACCACTCTCATTCCTGGCCCCGTCCTCGCAAGTAAGTGAACAACGCTGGTATTGAAATTAATAATGAGCTGGTATTAACAAGCAATTTAGCTGTTGACGTTTCTGAGGGTACCTTCTCTTGGACTGTTGACTGCGCGCTCGGCACCGATAAGACCTACGGTATCAAGATCGCCTCCGTCGCCAACTCTGCGACTTTCCAGTACAGCTTCCCGTTCGCCATCGCTGGCCCCTCGTGCAGCAATGGTGCTGGAGAGACCTCTAAGAGCAGCAGCGCCTCGGTCGCCTCTGTCGCCTCTAGCAGCTCTGCTGGTGGCTACCCCACCGAGGGCTACCCTACTCAGGGTTACCCTACCTTGACCAGCAGCTCCGTCATCAGCTCTGCCAGTAGCTCTGCCAGTAGCTCCGTCATCAGCTCTGCCAGCAGCTCTGCTAGCAGCTCTGCTCCTCCCTCTTACCCTACTGCTCCCGTCTCTAGCAGCAGCAGCAGCAGCGCCGTCGTTAGCAACACCACCAGCGTTGTCAGCACCAAGGTCCCGACCTACCCTACTGTGATTCCCTCCGGCAACCTGTCCACCACCGCTCATGTTCCCACAACCATCATCACCAGCTCCAGCTACGCCGCTGTGACTCCTGCCCCTAGCGCAAGCGCCACTGCCTCGGCTCCCGCCACCATCCCCACCGCTGGTGCTAGCAACGTTGCTGCTGGCTCGCTGGCCTTGGTCGGTGGTCTTGCCTTCGCCCTCTTCAACATGTAAGGTGGAATCGCATCTGTTTTCCGTTCGCGATGATGTTTTTAATAAATTTGGTTGTTTTACCGGCGAGAGCAGGGGATTGGAACTAATGAAATAATTGACCACATACCGAGATACCTTTCTGAGTGGCACCGGCTGTTGATGCGGACTTGTTGGATGCGATGGATATCGTAATACCACCATATATGTCAATATAGACAGCCTGCTATACTGAATATACCCATAAAAACTAATTGCTTTTTGTCCTTGTGTGCACGTGATGTCAAGTTAAAGAATCGTCTGTCTTTGTATCCAATACGAGTTCGAATAAGTCAGTGGTGAACAGTAGCCGCTATTTTAGTGGTAGATGTTGTATAGTCAATACACAAATATGAATTATCGAAGTTGAGATAAACTTGAACTTTAGACAACGTCGATGCTGTTCAAGTTTCAACTAAGTCCATTGGAGTTTTTACCTAATCCTCCCCGTCGATGTCATATCCACGTGGTGCGGCGCCTGTGCGACAAGATTACAACCGATTAAGGTTATCGCACTGCATCTGCGACCCGGAGCGAGTGCGCGCCTGCCCAATCGCCGTCCTTACAGCGCATCTCCCAAATCGGGAAGCCGACGACGACGATCGCGAATGCTATTTACTTTTTCACACCCGAGTTGAGATGTGATAGGTATCTCCTCGGATATCTCCACGGATATCTCGCTTGCTTTGCCACATACGAGATGGTTGAGACGGCTCGGCGGGGGAGCGGCTGGCGGCTTGTTTCTGCTTTATTGGCGCGGGTACGGGGGATGCGCATCCCCACGGTCGTGGGTTTAATAGCCTACTTTTACATAGGTATGAGGTAGGTACTCACTGCCGTACCGGTATTTTGATTTGAAACGGGTGTTTGGAATGGAGTTCGCAATAGCCTAACCTACCTTTTTTTATATCTTGAAACTCTGACTGCTGACTTTTGACTTTTGATATCTGGGATGAGTATATTTTTGTATGGATATTATAGATTTATTTTATACTGTGCAGCACGTAAAAGGAATCCTAAACTATGAGCATATTCATGTTGCGAATTCTAAGAAGAAGAAAACCAGACAAGGAATATTCCTAATAGATTTCCCTGATATTATACGAAGAGCGTGAAATAAGTCCACCCAACAAATAGGTTCATGATCGACATCACCTCGTATATATACGATAATAACCACCACATACACCGCAGTTTGAACAAAGCAACTATTCATTCGTAAACTTCATATTATTTTGGGATCTACACTTTATACCCTATCCTACCCTATACTATACTATACTATACTAAGCCATTTTCATTTCCTATTTCCCAGTAGTCCTAGCTAGCGTCCATCTATGCTATCCTATTTCATCCCAGTTAATTTCTTAATTACCTATCTGACTGACAAACTTCCTTAGATACCTAGGTACTTATACGGGTATATACCGAAACACACACACGCCCCAACGCCAGCCCAACTCAATTTCCCCGTGCGTTGGATCGTTTCAAATCTGCAAACAACCTCCAACGCCAAGATTTCGTTTCCATAGATACTTCTATGTAGGTAGTACCTATTGTAGCGCGTGCCAAGAAGTAATCAGCGCCCGCCAACCTGCCCCTTCGGTACGGGCGGGACCCAGCATAGCCCGAGATTGAGCACGATGGTAACCACCCCGATGACCCAGAAGGCGGTAGCGTAGTCGGTCCCCGCGCCCGTGAACCGGAATATGATGGCAAAAATGACTCCCCCGAGGTTACCTCCCGCACCCGTGGTCCCGGAGACAACGCCGTTGGCATGCGGATGCACATGCGGTACGAGGGCAAAGTTAGCCCCGTTGCCTGCCTCTAAGAATAGCGCTGCTAGAGCCACAAGCCCGACCATAGCAGACAGACTATGCGGGTTAACCTGGCCGATCACGACGAGTGCGGCGCCGGATATGCATCCGCACACCACGATCCAGATTTTCTTGGCCCAGGCGCTGCGGCCCGAGGCCTGGTACAAGACGTCCGCGACGACGCCGCCGAGGGGCCGGGTAACAACGTTTAGGAAGCCGAACATGGCGGCCCAGTTCGCGGCGTTGGTCTGGCCTAGCTGTGGGAAGTTCTTCACGTAGTATGACCCGAGTATGGAGTTAATGGCGAGCTCCCCGCCGAACGAGCACATGTACGTCAGGATGTGGAAGGCGGTCTGTGGGGAGAACGTCACCTGTGAGATTACGTCCCATGTCGGCTTTTGAACGACTTCGCCTTTGGCTGCTCCTATCATTTCGCCTCGCGACATGACGGCTTCATGATCCCAGTTGACGTGTTTTTGAGGCTTCTTGGCCTCCCTCTCGACCTCGTGGATGCTGTTCCCGCCGCTAGAGCTGGCCTTGTCGACGACGTTACCAGGGACGTCGATTATGCTATCCGCCGGGCCAGGAGTTGCGTCGCCGCCGTGAGAGGCCAAGTTCTGCTCAGCGTGGAGATGTCGCTCAGACCATTTGCCGGTTGGTGTATCAGGGCATAGGAGCAGCATGGATATGCCGGTGGCGAGCGTTATTACGAGGGGAACGACGAAGGTAAGACGCCACGCCACGCCATCCGAGTAGCCTCGAGCCACGAATGAGTCAAATACGGCCGGCATGATGAAGTAGGTGATTCCACCGCCGGCGTTACCCCAACCTCCAGTTAGGGCGTTGGCGGTACCGACAACATTTTTGTCGAAGAATCCTGTCGACCAGACCTGACAAGGCACAAAAGACCCACCAAGGATACCTATGAAGAATCGGCTCACATAGAGGCCTTGGGCATTGTGAACAAGAGGGGCCAGACCAAGAGGGATCGACCCGACTAGGAGTGTACCGGCGAATACCCAACGAGGCCCGAACCGATCGCAAGCAGGACCAGCCGCAAATCGAATCAACAATCTCCAGTACGTCAGCTCGGAAAGGGAACCATGAAACCAAAGTAATTATAAAACACATACGTAGCACACAACGAGACGATGTTGGAATTGGCAATCTCGGCCGAGGTAAGATCAAGGTTGGCTTTAATGGTATGCGTCAACTACGAAGTGCGTAGAGTGTCAGTTACTCGCCTCCTTTTATATGGAGTTTCCTAGAAGATCGAGATACTAACCAGTGGTGGAAAGGTATACCACGCCCAAAAGGAAACCATAAATCCCCACCAGGAGAAGAAGAATACACGCCCGTAAACATTAAAGACATTTAAAACGGGGACAGAGCGGGCCTTGCGGTTAATCGGGTCCACTTCCGGGGCGGTCCAGAGGTAAGACGGCTTCATCTCGAGTGTTGTAAGCCTAAGCCCTGAGAAATCTTACGCTTGTAATTCGTAGGCCCTCCTCACAAAGGGGCTGACCGGTTGGGTTTCAACACGAAGTTTATAGCGATGGTGATTACTGACTGGTATAAACTGCAATTTGGTAGGTTGAAAGGGGCAACGTATATACTCCTTTGATCGAATAGTATATACTCTTAGATTAGCGAATAGACTTCCTGTGTAACTGAGCATCTCCGGACGAGTCGTCTCTGCAGCGGGTCTAGAGCAACGGTCCCCACCCCAAGACTACACGAGTGTTTTCCGCGGAAGATTCTCCTGGCAGATAAACTTCTGATGTGCCGAGCGGAAACGCTTGATCCAAGTGCTAAGGAGATGGCGTGCTAGAGTCGTCCAATGACCGTTGAGATGATTAGATCTATAGTGTCAAGGAGGCTCCTTTCTATCGATGGTGTAAGAGAAAAGGCAGCTACGGCTAGAAGCTGGGCTTGACGGGTCTGATAAGATATAAGCTCCTGAAGATTGATGATGTTTTTACTAAAATATAGCCATTAGCGCATTCTTGATGACCGGCACGGCTTCCTCTGCCCGAGCTGCACTATTCTCGACGTACATCGATAGTGCCAGTGGCTTGCTGACGGAGATGCGAAGCAGGTAGCCGGAGATATTACACGGAGTCGTGATGTTCTCGAATAGCCTGCCGAATATACACACTGCTAACTCGAGTTGATAAAACTCGACTCTGACCTCATCAAGCGAACCTCGTTTACTAATGGTAAACTCGACAACCCAGATACCAAAAAAAAAAAAAAAAAAAGAGAGACATTCGAAGGCCAGCTTTGCCTCACCGGTATTTTAAATTGGCCCGGGCACGCACCTGAGAGAGAGCTTCTGGCAGCGAATCAGACATGACATAAAAGCAATAAGTTCCCGTCGTAAAAAAGCAAGTCAACACGGCGGATATTCGCACACGCCCAGATGACTAGTCAGGGGTACGACAGCCAACGCTAATGCCAATGCCAATGCCTTCTTATCTTATCTGAAGGCGTTCAGGATCGACGGTGGTAGGGCTAAGCCTTATTTGATGATGATTCTGCCCAGCCCAGAGATAAGCATGAGGGCCGTCAGTGGCCTATGAGTTCAGGACAGACCGCCGTCTGCGATCTCCGCGGGAACGTGGCTTGTGGTTAGTTCCGGGTTGCAGGTTGCAGGTTTCTCGAAAGATCAATCCGGGGCAGGAATGTATCCTCATACGCAACGCATATGGTGTAGCCAGTCCCTTGGTCGCTCGGAATCCGAGGCGTTGGACGAGCCCAAACGACTGGCGCGTCGAGATGCAACTATCCTTGCAAAATGTCAGCTTGTCAGCATTGTGGTTAGACGAGGAGGATGTAATTACCACCCTACGAGCGTGGTACGGGACTCACCTGGTCGAATAACTACCTAAGGTAGATAGATAAATGGAGATGAAACCCCAGATATTCATCAGAATGACTTCGATGCTAAGATGTTAGTAATTATGAAGTGTAGTAGTGTTTCGATTAACTAGCGACATTTGTCGCTGAATAGATTAGGGATATAGCTCCACCAAATCGGATACCTATCCTCTTTTACCCCCTGTCTTCTTTGTCCCCAGGTCCCCAGGTCCCCCACGTACCTAAGTTGGTACTGTATGTACATACAGCTTTGATGTGCATATGATGAAATCCAAGGTTCGCTTTATCCAGCCTTACCGTCAGGAGTGACAAATCACACTTCAGCCTTACGAATGTTTACTAGGTATACGATGTAACGATATTTCCAATCGCGTGGGTGGTCGACTGGATGCGTTTATTATAGTTATGTAGCACAGACAGACAATCTCTTACCTTTGGGATTTCCGATATTGCATATGCTCTCATTTTGAGCCTATTATCCGGAATAAGAGAACTTATAAGTTAGTATCGAATAGTTATAACTACCAGAAAGAAAGAAAACATATAAAGACATTGATGCGAAGTACCCAACACCACCAACTATATGATACATATATACCGTCATATTGGTGTATTAAACCAGGCTAGGGCTTTCAAGCAATAACTGAGACAACGCCGCGCATTGCGTTTTGGGATTTGCGTCTTAGTATGGGTTCGGTGTTCCCACGACGAAATTATATAGAGAGTGGTTTGAACATTCTACACCGATATTTTAGGTTTCTGAGACTGTGCTGGCATTGTGTTTTAATATCGCTAGGCATCACAAATATGGAGTGCCCCTTCAACCCAGGCGCTACGTTCTTATTTCTTTCTCACCGCTCGGTCTAGGCGATTACGGATGACGTTGTGTTCCTGCTGGAATAATAATTTGATCGGTTCTCCCGCGGCAATCCCATAGTGCTTCCGCGGGCTTAGGCCGAGTTGCGTCTCGGTCGTCGTAGCCGCTAGGAAATATTCTCGGGAGTGGTACGGAATAGTTGCGGCAACTCGATATTAATAGCGGATCTGTTACTACATAGCTACGGATCTCGGAGTATCCACTCGGTAATCGGCAGTTTGGGCGTAGGAATGAGAATGTCATTAGGTAAGTAGTATAGAGCCTCGTTAGTTGAAGTCGAGAAAAGGCTGGGACTAGCATCGAAGAAGCTAGCGTAGTGTCGTCTAGTTCTATGTCTATAGGACGTTCTAGACTTGCTACATGGATGCTTAATATGTTTAAAGTGTCTACTACCTCTACGATATGCACTACGAGACCTACGAAACTCCTTTACACGGTAGCAACCCAACGTCGTCCGAACTGTTTGTTGAGACCCTCTTTATCTTGCCGAAATATTCTGCAACCGTTACTGATGAGCCGTTCGTGAGCCTTGGTAATTCTCGCTGTACGCAACAAGTCCGGTAGGATCTCGGGTCGGCTCGGTGGGGCCGTGTTCCGGTATTTAAAGGTTGGATATAAACCTGCTAATATTAGAATAGAGTTAACGTTTCGGTTTATATCCTTTTGCATCGGTTGTCGGTTAATAACCTGGAACAAGATTCTTTCACAACTAAATCAGAATGATGTCTAGGACGCTAGGACTGTTGCATTTTTTATGGAAGCCGCACCGACTAAGACATTTGAACGGCTCCGGTTCCCAATATGTGAGTTGTAGACCTGTGGCGAGTCAATAAAGTCGGTGTGATTCCCCTTACTTACTAAATCTTGCCTATGTGTGACTTGCAACTTTCCCTCTTCGTGATAACCTTTCGAAAATTTCGGTACTTGAAATTCTCTTGTTACTTGTTGTTTAGAAATATCCCCCTAGTTATTGGAAAACATGGCAGATCTCAAAGTCGACAACCTTCAAAATCCCGAACAGAGGAGATCAGATAGTGTACAGACTACCAGGTCCAGCTCTGATTCGACCTTGTCGTCTAATATGGACTCTATATTTTCGAGAGCGTGGTGCTATATGCTGGAGCCTGTTCGCTCGTCAGGTTTTGCCGAGCTCGAACTACTTATCCTAACCTTGTAAGCAATTCCCCGTGTAAACCAAAGTCGAAAGACCGACGAGATGCCAGGAACTAGTAGATATCTATGTCGACCAATTGGATGGTTACGGTTTCGTGAAATGTGTTTAGGTATGTTAGCTAACACATGCTTGCTATTAGTTGCACGGGCATGCAAGATGCCATTTCTTTCCCCGACTACCACTGCTTCGCGTCGAACCAGACAGGAAATACGGTTTTCCTCATGCTGGCCATCATACTGCCTCATCTTAACGGCGAAATGTTCATCACGGCAAATATTGGGTCAGCTCTAGGTTTCTTCCTCTTGGGTGGATGGTTGACGGGTCAGATTAGCCACCTCGTTGGTCCACGGCTAAGACTCTGGCTCGTCTGCTGCAACTTCGTCCAGTCGTGCTTGGTATTCGGCGCAGCGGCTATGCAGTACCAACACGGAGCAGGATTAAAGGGTGGCGACGCTGTGATAGTTATAGGGCTTCTAGCATTTGCTTCTGGGAGCCAGGTTGTGCAGTCGCGATCCCTCCAGATGACGGAGATAAGCACAGCGATGGCCACCGCCGCGTGGATCGACCTGCTAATCGATCCTAAGCTCTTCAAGCTAAATAATAGGCCACGTACAAGGCGTGCCATGTTTCTCGCGACGCTTGTCCTTGGGTCGCTCGCAGGTGCGGGTATTTACCGATCTGCTGGGTCTTGGGTGGCCATTTTGGTATCGGCTGCTGGGAAGATGCTTGTGACGGGCATGTATTTATTCAACGGTGCTGATAAACCCAAGACGACGTCTGGCCAAGATGCTTGCTGAGTGGACTATGCGGATATGTTATGCTGGATATTGAAGAGCGAACATGTATAGACAATACCTACTTATTATACTTAATTGATGCTACACCGAGGAGGTGATAACTTAGTAATGAGATAGTTTAGACGATCTGATGATAAAATACATATATCAGTTAATTATCAGTTGAACCTTATCATGGTTTTAACTTTTGGTTAACTAGAACTTACTCTACTTGATGATTTGGTTGAATGCTTATCTAATACACTAATGTCTGTATAATCCGTAAATGGCCCCATAATTTTATCTCGCTGCAAAACGCGGCATTGCTAAATTGAATCACCTGCACGCGCGACTTAGTGTCACATGGCCCGAGCTTTTAGAGGGTCTGTCGTGAATTCGGACTTCTCAGTCTAACACTCAACATTGTCACTGTCCACTGTCACTTACATAGATTACGAAGAGAGGGGATCACATACTATGTCCTATTAGGTTTTCCTTTTTTCGCGGCAATTGATTCTAAAAATCTCATGGAGCTTCTGTGGAACATAGGTTCCAAGGCGTCTTCATGACTCGAAACAATCTTCGCGATCACTTAAGTTGGTTACTTGCGAATGTTGCTCTAACCGCGCCAAACGCGCCTATTCTACCACCCGCTCGAGACCAACCATCTTCCGATATACCCTCCTCTCTCCCCCATTCGACTGCCCGGCGCTCCGAAACGCGTACTAAAGACGTTACCGAACCATCGCTATACCCAACTCTTCCAGACATCCAGTCTTTGCACACGGAGCCGCCCGATGGGTCGACGAAACCGGCGAGACCGCTTGAAGTATCTGGGGGGGTTGCGGTGGGAGAAAAGATGGGACGATTAACTTCAAAATCTGGCTCGAAACGGCCTGCTCTTATTCTACGCCAGGAGCAATTGCTTACCCCGACATCTACAAGCGGAGGCGCGGGGTTAGGATTGGGGTCGGGGTCGGGATCGGGATCGGGGTCCCTTGCTAAAGAATATGCTGCATTGCTGAAGAACTCAGGTCGGATTCCCCGTTTGCTCTGGACTACGAAAGTGTGGCTAAGAGAATATTATAGGTGTTGCGAATTCCGCTAAGAAAAGGACTTCGCCCCGGCAGCAGTTTCCGACTCCAGGGCCCACATTCGGAAGCGATTGTACCTTCGACACGGTCGATCTAACTAACGAAGACGAACTTACTTCGACGAATTCTATTGCGTTTGGAAGCAACACCGGGCTATGGCGGGAAGACTTTGCTACTCGGCCTGGTCCGGCCTCCACTACCACCGCGCCCTCGGTTGCGTTCGGAACTGATATTATGGTATGGGAGGAGGAGCATGCTATGCGAGCAGAGCCAACCCATACGACTGAAAACTCGGTAGCGTTTGGGAGCGATGTTATGATATGGGAGGAGGAACGTGCTGCGCGGCCTGCGCCGCTGACCCCAAAACGAGGTAAAAAGCGAAAAAGTGACCAAATCAGTCAACCGCCTACTACCACTACTGCTGAAACAGATGATTTCCCCGATATCTACGAAGTTTTGTCCGAGGAAGAATCCATGCACTCCCATCTCAAAAAGTCCCCATCCAAATCGCCAGCCAAGACGAAGCTAAAGACGACGGCTAGTCAATCACCATCGAAAGCTGTAACTTCGTCTAGGAAAGACACGACCCGGCGAGCTAGAAAAGGAGAAGAGCTCGCGGATGACTCTTTGTCCGCTACTGAGCGTACTATAAAGCGATCTCCTGCCAAGCTATCACTGAAAAATGTCGTTCCTTATGACGCGACGGATGCTGGGGACGGGCATGTAACGTCTTCCGAGCATGATTCATTTTCGGAAGATACCCCGGAGACTCCCAAAGCGCGGACGGCACAGACGACGCGGAAATCTCGGGTTTCTAAACCCGATAACCGAATTATCAAGGACTCAGACGACGAGCTTATGACGCCCCCTACTTATGACGCACCAGACAGCACGGCTCACTCAAGTAGCCGCCCTAAGACTTCTATTCGGATATCTCGGGATGCTGATGATGATGTTGTTGCCTACGATACACCATCGAAGCCGAGGCAGGTAACCCAAAACGAGAGGCGCACACCGTTCCGCTCATCCCGGAAACCTGAGCAGCATGCATCCTCCCAAGTCAGTATGGCTAGGGGCTACGACCAGGAACTGGAAGCTGGCCCCTCACAGAGATCTCAGTTGATGAGTGAACCAAGTATCGTGATTGATGAAGATGAACAAGATACTATTCTGGAATTATTCCTCGCCCAACCTTTAGTCACCATCGAAAGGGCGGGAGAATTACTGGAAAAGAAACTACAAGACAATAAAGACGCATATAAGGAGTCCTTGAAAAGTGGCAATCTTGGTCCCAGAAGTCGTCTCAAGCAGGAGAAAGAGCGACTAGCACGACAACAGGCAGCTTTGGGCGACCTCTCAAGGGACTTTCGTTCTTACGAGGAAGTTCAACTCAAGAAGGAGGCCTTGATTTCGCGAATCTCAGACGCCTACGACCAAGATCTAGATACACAGGACGATGAGGCCCGACTTGAAGAATTGGAGGATTTGCTTAAAGAACGCCGATCAATCCTAAAGCCTAGCCTTCTGAAAGCCGGTATCGAGAATCGGAGTTTTTTTGAGACCAGTGAGACCCGTAGCACCGAAGCCGAGCATCCCAATCCTATTGTACGTGCAACTCAACCAGCCAGACCTGCGCCGCCGACGAGCTTCTCGCGGGAGTCGACACTTATCCCACGAGGTAGTACTCAAGTAATTCTTCAAACCCAGCTTTCTCATCAAGCAGACGATTCTTTCCCAATCCCGGGGCGAGATTACGACGAATTACCGTTACCACCGCAGAGTACTGCAGGAAGACCCCGTCGTCAGGTCGCTTCTCCTATACCCGAAAGTGGTGAACTAATTGACGAGCAACTGCCGTTTACCATAACTAGCAACAGCAGGCCAGCAAAACCCCCCACTCGTCAGAAACCGCCTGTAGTCATAAGTCAGGATCCCTATGATTTTGATGACTACGATGACCCATTCAATGATCTGTCACCCCCAGTCAGTCGACATGTACCAACGAGGGCGACAAATTCTCAACTCGGAAGCCTCAAGGGCCATAAGAGCCCGATTAAAGCAAAGCCTAGCCAACAGAAAGGCTACCAGAGCGACTACAGTGACGATGTTGACATGGTTCAATTTGCAGAGGAGCTTGATCTCCGACAATCATCGTCGGAGAATAGACTGCCTAGAACTCATCGTCCCGTCCTTTCGGAAACGTCTGGAAATGCGGGGGTACGACCCCAGAAAGTAGCCATCGCGAAGACTATAGACCCATCGATGTCAGCACATATTCCACGTGAACTTAAAAACCGCCCGTGGTTTAAAGATGTGAAAAAGGCGTTAAAAGATAGATTTAGAATGACTGGGTTCAGACATAACCAACTCGAGGCAATCGATGCCACTCTAGCGGGTAAAGACGCATTTATTCTAATGCCCACGGGAGGCGGCAAATCCCTCTGCTACCAACTCCCGGCTGTGATCACGAGCGGAAAGACCCATGGCGTTACAGTTGTCGTGTCCCCCCTTATCAGCTTGATGCAGGACCAAGTGCAGCACCTCGCAGCGTTGAATATCAAAGCTTGTGCCTTCAGCGGCGATCTAGCTCAGTCAACCCGTAATGAGATCATGGATAACTTGAAGAAAAGTCATCCTGAACATTACGTGCAGCTTCTCTACGTTACCCCTGAGATGATCAACAAGAGCAAGGCTTTCCTAGACGGCCTGACCACCCTTTATGAAAACAAGAAGCTTGCGCGTCTCGTAATTGATGAAGCCCACTGTGTGAGCCAATGGGGTCATGATTTTCGTCCTGACTACAAGGAACTCGGCAGCTTCAGAGAAACGTTCCCCGGTGTACCCCTGATGGCTCTCACGGCCACTGCAACGAAGAATGTTATTCTAGATGTGAAGCATAATCTAGGGATCGAGACGTGCCAGGAATTTTCGCAGAGCTTCAATCGTCCTAATCTCTACTACGAGGTTTTGAAAAAGGAAAAGGATAGCGTTGGAAGCATTGCCGAACTAATTAATACAAAGTACAGTGGGAAGACGGGCATCGTGTATACGCTTTCCCGTAAATCAGCGGAGAAGATTGCTGAGAAGCTGCGAAGCCACGGAATCGCCGCTCAGCACTATCACGCAAGCATTAAAGTCCACGAGAAGGTAAGCGTCCAGACAAGTTGGCAAGCCGGCGAAACCAAGGTCGTTGTAGCAACTATAGCCTTTGGAATGGGAATTGATAAGCCCGATGTTCGCTTCGTCATTCATCACTCCATCCCGAAGAGCCTCGAAGGATATTACCAGGAGACTGGCCGTGCTGGTCGAGATGGGTTGCCTTCCGAGTGCTATTTATACTTCAACTATGGCGATGTGTCCTCCCTGAGGCGGATGATTACCGACGGCGATGGTAACGAAGAACAGAAGGAGAGGCAGAGGAATATGCTAAACACTGTGGCTGCCTTCTGCGACAACCAAAGTGACTGCCGACGGGTGGAGATTCTTCGTTATTTTGGAGAAGCGTTTGACAAAGAGCAGTGCGGCAAGACCTGTGATAATTGTCTGAACGAGGAGGTTTTCGTGCAAAAGGACTTTAGCGAGTATGCGGTTGCGGTTTTATCAATTATGAAGTCCCAAGGAAAGCTTACGCTCATTCAATGTACGGATTTCTTGATGGGAAAGAAAAAAATATCGGACTACAAGCCGGGAACGGAACAATATCGTGGGATGGCCAAGCAGATGCAAAAACACGACATACATCGAATTGTCGACCGACTCGTTGCAGAGGACGCACTGAGGGAAGAGAACATCTTCAACAACAAGTCTAGGATGGCTATTCAGTATTTTAAGGTAAAGAATCCTCGATCTTTAGCTGCTTCCTCGCTAACTATTTTGCTATAGCTTGGGCCTAGGGCGCGTGTCTTCTTAAATAATCAACGCCAGCTTTTCCTGACTACCCGAGTTAAGGACAAAGATAGTCAGGGCGGTACATCTAAGAGGCAGACACGAATCAGCCAACCGGCTACTGCTGCGACGAAGCGGGCCACCCCTAGCCGCCATATCCCATCTACGAACGTGTCATCGCCTATCCTAGGTAGGGACCGTAAGAAGAAAGGGAAGGCCTTAATGATATCGGAAAACGAAGATAGCGACGACGACGAGTATTCCAGATTTAGCAATGGGTATGCTAAAGATGGGTTTGTAGTCGCCGATGATTCTAATGATGACTTTGAGACGATGCCTCCTCCACGATCCAGAGCTCGATCTCAACGAACCACGCTTGGGCCGCCAATATCCCATGATGCGCGTATGGACAGTGTTGAATTATCCGGCCTATATGACGATATCCTCCACAGCTTCCTCAAGGAGGCTAAAGATCTAGAAGAGAACCTAAGAAATTCAAAGAACTTGCGCTCGCCTATTTTTACCGAGCAGCAACTCCGCGAAATGGCTATAAGATGGACCATTTCTCTCGATAAGATGCACTTGATTCCTGGTATCAATAATGATAAGGTGGATAGGTACGGTAGTAGAATGCTACCCCTAATACGGCAATACCATCAGCGATATCGAGAGATCATGGGTCAAACGAGCCCTCAGGCTGCCGCTACTGCGTCTGGCTCTCGCGATGTCGTTGACCTCGTGTCAAGTGACGACGGTATGGATGACATCGAGGATGATGGGGAGGAGGACTTCGATGACCCGGGTGCGGTATCGTCCTACTTCGTACCTCCAGCTGAGCATACAGGTCGAGGGGCTACGGCATCCCGTGCATATTCTACGCCGTCTGCGGCTCGGTCGTCAAAGGGAACTACATGGCGCGGAAGTAAGAAGCCCTTCCAGCGTCGGTCATCCGGGGGTTCTACTAGAGGAAGCAAGCCATACGGTGGTGTTAAGAAGAAAGCCACTGCTGGTAGTCGAAAGACTACATCCTCAACCGCTTTCGGCGGATCAAGACGAGCGGGAAAATCAACAGGCGCAGGAGCTAGCGGTGGTAGTAGGGCGAGATCACAGGGTGTAAGCCACAGCGGTATCGGGCTTATGGAGCATTGAGGAACCGAGCTTTTATTGATTCATTGAATGGAGCGTGTTATATACAATTACTACGTTGCGCGTTTTATGCTTGTTGCATGGTATGGACGGTCGCATGAATAGGGCAGGGGGACCGGACCGGCGTACATGAAGGCGTTTTGATATTCTTTAATGGTATTTTTGCCCGGCCAAGGCACGCTTGCATGCGTGCATTCATCTTGTTATTCTCAAACCTACCTACAGTTCTACCTCGACGTAGACTACGAACCAAACGATGCCTTTTATTTCCCGACGTGGCGGTAGATAAATAGATACCTAGACGTCTTTGGATGGTGTTTATGACTTCACTGCGGGGGGTAGTTTACTTAGTGTGCAAGTCTAGTTGACTGTTCAAGGGATAGGGGAAGAAGAAGGAGAAGGAGAAAACAAAATATAATATGGTTACTATCCAACGTATATGTCCTAATGGCTGTAAAACTGATCACAAGCAAGTGTTGCGACAATATATTGATTATACTGTTTCCGTAGTAAAGACTAGTGCATGTCTGTCATTATTCTACATCAATAAAATCGTTGATATGTATCTCTCACCCGTCTGACGCCTGTCCGACGAACTGTCAAAATACACATAAAAGGCAATTATATTCGCCAAGGAACTTCGTAACCAATCATGTAGGATATACATCTCCCAAATATAGTTTGACTTCTAGTTCCCCATAGCTTCTCAGAGACCTTTGGGTTCTTGTCTATGATTCTGTACCCACGAAATTCGTGAGTACGAGCATTGTAGAAACGTCTCGCGCCGGCGTAGTCCTCCTCGTGGATGCGGTATATATTCAGATCGAAGTAGCGATTCATAATCGAGAAGCTATTGCGCCGGCCGAGCAGGTACGACGGGAAACACGCCTCGTCCGCATCATCCCGTGCGGACTCGTGCCGCAGCCCGAGGATGTGCCCGAGTTCGTGGCAAAAGGTACCGGTCATATGCTCTAAGCACGGCTCTCCGAAACTTAATTCATACACAAATAGCCGTTGGTCCCCTAGAACGCCCGCGTAGAACGATGTGGCCAAAGCATTAGGTTCTGTACTATTACAGCTCATGTATGTAAGGCGGAATAAGGCTGGTTGGTCGTCCGGAACGTCCTGGAATTGCACACCGATATCACCTTTGTTCCATTCTATAGCTGCGTCTTTGAGACTGTTGCGAGCGTATTCTGCGGTGAAGTCGTTAGGAAAGCTGTCCTCGTCAACATTGTATGTGAGTACAGACCCCGGCGTCCACCGATATATTTGGTTGCACGCCCCTACGTTGATAAGTATATGGGCAGGGGGACTTGGCTGATATCGAGGGAAGTTTAGCCATTTCGATGCAAGACTTCTCAAGCCGGCATACGCCCGAGAGATGAAATTGAAAATAATAGGGTTTAAGGGCAGAGCGTCCCAAATTCGAACGCTGTTAGATGTGGCCTGCGGCTTTGGCTGGTTATCGGTAGTAATGTGATTTGAGTTGTCGTTTTCCACAACGTCTCGATTCGGACGAGTGCCCGAAGACGTAAACTATTGAGTGAGAAAGATAGTTAGATATACGAAATGAAAGGACAATATTTTAGTAGCTTACTACCTAGAGCACAAACCTGTTCCATTCGTTCAATCCTTTCGCATAGTCTTGTTATATACTATCAGGGGGGTATCCTTCTGTCTTAGTACCGCAATATATTTACTCCCAAGAGTCAAACTTTTAAACCATTATTGGAGAACTTTAGAAGTGATCGTAATCTTCGTTTTCCGCCGAGTCAACAATATCTGATCGTTTAATTCGAATTATGACTTTAATATTACACATAATAGGAAAATTGGCGAAAGGACGGGGTTAGTTAATATATACGTAAAGCCTAGCAAGATGTTCAACATCGCAAGATACAATTTCAGACAATTCCCGGGCCCCCAAGAAGACCCTTGCCGTTAAAGGAATACTTGTTTGAGTAAGGATTAAGCTAGAATATTCAAAAGCTTCACATCTTGCCATACTACCTAATCATAGGAAGATTTCTATATGATACTTTATATACCCGTACTTATACGTTTGTAAGATGGGTTCTATATCTACAGTTTATAACCGCGCCTGCGACCTAATATTTACAATATACATGCGGTTTCATCTAGAAAAGACGGGTTGATTCTCAGAAGTATCCTTCGAGGACCTACAGAGCTAAAAATGTACTTTCGTTCACCACCAGCGTTTCTATCATTTTTCTCCATCAAAATTGCATAATTCTGAGGTTAACATTTAAACAGGCTAGGTACTTATAGAACTCGATTACTTAGATTTAGATAAAAATAGCTAGTGGTGGACAAAGCCAGTTTTTAGCCCCTATTCAAGTCCCTGAGCAAGACGAGGAGAATAGAAGAGGGGAGGGATGGTACGTAACCGGTTAGAATTTCATTAGAAGCCGGCGTGACTATCTTTTAAAACACAACGCTATGGCTTGATACCAACTGTCAAATTTATCGACTACGCCTGCCTGCCTGCTTATCCCGACTAGCCTCTCCCATCCATACCATACGCCGCTGGACGTCGAAAACAGCGACCGATGAATGAATGCGCTACGTAGGTACAGTAGATAGTAGATATATATCGTACAACACAATGCTTGCTTCTAGTCCCGGGGTTCACCGTCCCGCTTGCCTAGAGGGACGGTGAAATACCCCTCTGTCTCACCTTGTCTTCTCGCTAAGACTCCTACGAGTCTCTCTCTCGCACATATCTCCATCTCGACATGCTCAATCTGTTCAACCTCTAGAACCACAAAAGCGCCCGCTCGCCCCTTCAGTTATATGCCAACGACTGCCTCCCTCTCCAAAGAATGCTTATAGCAGGAATGGGGTTTGGATATAATAAAAAGACATAAATAATAGGTATCACTGTGATGGGACCATTTCCATGATGACCCCTGTTGAAACCTAAAAATACCCTAAGAACGCCTTGGCCCACCTCCGCATTTACCATGCTGCGTCTACCCTCGTTTCCGCGTCAAGTATCGCGGGATGAATATGGATATGTGATGGATAATCCAAACTCCAAGGGAAACGTAGCGGCTTAGCTCGGTTGCCTCATGCCAACGAGATTCGTACTGGCCGCTAACCCGTTAACGATTGTATAACTTGAATGCTAATAAGATCGAAAGAAAAACAATAGTCCTTCGTGGTGTCATTGAAGTAGAATCGAAGACAAGGAGATAAGCCCGTCTTGCGGGACTCCGACAAACGGGATACTACAAGGGAGTGACTTGGTCCTCCGTCGTTACGCTCGCTGTGACCCGCGAGGCTATTTAGCAACATAACGTGTTCATTACCTAAAAGTGCCAACGGGGTTTGTTATCTTTTGGCTTCGATTCTATCGGAGTGCTACCCCTGTGCATAGCAGCACGTGCCGCAGCAGTGGCCTGTGGGCTGTGGCGGCCAGTTGAATCGTCCATCTTCGACTTAGGTTGAGGGAGTAAACTAATCCGGCGGTTGCTCGTTGACAAGGAACTAGCCGATCGCCTAGCATCGCTCAGACCAAAATCTAGCCTTGGCGGCTGGAGTGAAGCTCTTCGACTATCAAAGGTAGAAGACCCTTGTGTTGCGAACCGAGACTTAGCTGCCGACGGCGGAACAGATTGTCCCGCAGAAGCAGCAGCATTAATCCGGTCACGGAAGGAGAGCCGAGACGTACTCTTCCTAGGAGGTGTATCCTCAGGAGCTGGTGAGGATGAAGTTGCCATTGCTAATGGACTGCGGAGAGGAAGCTTTGAGCCCCCGGAAGACTGCCCAAGCGCGGATGCCGAGCGCACGGAAGACGTTTCTTTAGCATATGGACTGGGGGTAGTAAGGGTGAGCGGTTTGAAGTTATGTCCTACATCGGAATCATTGGTATTTGTAGAACCATTCCATCGCGGGCGGCTATCAGCGCCACTGGAATTGGATCTTGGGAGACGGGTGAGAGGTGTGACACTACCACTTCGAGGCGGCGTGGTCAGGCTAGTAGTACTCGGTTGGAATGTAGAGAGTCGAGATCCAGGGGGTCGCCGTGAAGGAGGGGCCAAACTCGAACTACTTCTACGAGCCGTAGCAGGCTGAGGTAGATGACTTCCGCCGCTTGTAGTAGTACGCCTCTTATGCTGTGTTAAGGAACTGTTTGATTCTAGACCTATGCTGGACATGACGACTGATGATGGCGGCGAACTTCCCGGAGTCTCATTGCCGCTAGCAGTAGTTGATCTATCATTCGAGAGCATACTGGAGATCGAGTCTCGTAGCTGTTGGCTATGCTTTTTAGACTGAATCTCCTCTATGGTGACGCTTAGCCTTCTCATGGATTCTCTTGCTTCCTCCCACTTGGATTCTAACTCGTTATGAAGCCGAAGAATTTCGCCGTTCACAGTAAGTCTATCCTTGACACCCTTGTCGATGATAGAGAGCACACGCTCGATTGCTGGTCCGTAATGTACCCTCTTTGCCTCGTAGCTCTCGATCTTCTTGCTCATCGCCGCGGGGCTGGAGTGCTGTAAACCTTGGTCTACTGCCTCGTACACTTTTGCCATGCTCCGGTCTACAGACTCGATCATCTTCTGAGCCTGCCTACCAGCACTGCGAAAAACGAGAACCCACTTGTCCTCGCCAAGCTCCTTTCTAAGGGATTCGGCGTCCTTCTCAAGTTTCTTGTAGCTAGCCTCCAAGCCTGTTCTCCTCATTTCCAGTTCTTCGCAGGCTGTTGGGAAGGCCCCAGAAGCTCTCGCTTCAAATACCGAGAGTCGCATGGGTAAAAAGTCTAATGATGCTCTCAGGGGTTGCATCCGCGCGAATAGTGCAAGTAAGCTCGAGTCATCTTGGGTGAGTGCAGGAGTTCCTGGAGAGCTTGGACTAAGCGGAAACGATGGCACACTAAATCGGTTATTGCGCATGACAGCTGGTGGCGTCTCTTCGATGATAGTCTCTAGGTCGCCTATATCTATTCCATCTCCACTTGAAACGGCTATCATGGATTTATGGCGCCGTTCCTCCATTTCGAATATTAATCGGCTTAGCTCGTCCATTTCATTCTGGATATCGCCTAGAACCATATTCCACAGCTCCTCCCACTCCATAGCCGTCTCGACCTGGCCTTTGACATTATTCAGAGTGTGCCGAATCTTAGCCCATGCATTCATAATAGCTTCCATCTGCGTGACCGCTTTTTGGAGATCATCGCTGGATACGCTAGCAATATCTGGCCTGCTTTGGAGCTCTTCAATAGCGCCCACGTAGACATTGATAAGCCCCTCAAATCTTGTGATGGCGTTTTCCACTTCTTCATACCCTTCTCTGCCCCCGGCCGCGGCCCATTCGACATCATCATCGCTATCTAGGCCTCCGATGACTTCAGAAGCTTTCGAGATCCAACTTCGTATCTGTTCAGCAGCACCCAGTAAGGCCTTCGCCGCCGCTTGGGCCGTGGGAATAGCGGCGACCTTACTCGACAATAACTCGGCATCGGGCAGCTGGAGCGCAGTAAGCTGGGCAAGCTGGTTAGCAAACGACGCGCGGGATATCGTATATATGGACCCTGCGCGCTGAAGACCGAGGGGATTAAAGTAGGATGGTAAGTCGGAGGTAAAATCAGCAGGAGTTGCACTCCCAGGAGGCGTATCTTTAGGGGGCAAAGGAGGTGGCGTTTCGGAGTCGTCGACGATCTCTAATTTCGGAACGCGCGAGTCTCGTTCGATGTGCTTCCTCCGAGTATCGAGCTGCGCTTTAGTGCCATTTCCATTCGTGTGGTCGGGCAATCGATATTTGTTGGTGTCCATTTCCAATGGCGGCGCCTCTATTATCTCCGGCAGTAGCTCAGGCTTGGAAGAGGACTCGGCCTGAACGAGTGAGATAGGTCTTTCTTCCTCGTTGGCACTCTTCTTCCGAAATGAGTCGCGGCTAGATCTGGACCTTAACAATTGGAGAGGTGCACCAGCACCTTTCCAAGGACGACCGCGTCGCTCGACGACAAGCTCGGTAGAATTGTTCTGATGCTTTTGGTCGAGTAGCCGCAGCTGGTCTTCCGGTAACCGGCCGACGTTTTCATGGGATGGCGATGAGGGCAAAGACGAAGCCTGTCTTTGGCCACCGAAACCTAGAGCTTTGAGACGAGCTGCCAAGCCAGGAGAAGGTCTACGTGCTTGATGATGCTTGGCCTTAATTGTGGGAGAATTATTATTATTGTTGATGTTGTTATGATAGTCGGTAGGGAGAGGTCCTAGCTGTACCAGATTGGTCGGGACGTCAGAAAATGTCAAAAGATCGAGAGGCGGGTCGGCGGCATTTTGTTGTTGCTGTTCAGGATCAGGAAATCCTGGGTCCGAAAAAGCGGAGGCCGTCGGGGTGGTGGGAGATTGGCGAGAGGAAGAAAGCGGCCGGGTGATATAGTGTTGGTCGTGGAGATGGTTTTGTGATGGTGAAGAAGCTGGCACTGCTGCTGCTGCTGCATCTGGTGCTGGTGCTTCTGCAGCTGGACCGGCTCCAAATGGGCCTGTCATTTACCGATATAAGTGATAAGTGCTTTGGAATATATCACTTTTATTTTTTTTATTATCCTTCTTTTTTTTCTCTTTTTCCTGTTCGGGATTCTTAACCCTTCTTCTCTAGCGTCTAGATGAGGCAGCAGTCTGTGTTGTTGCCCACTTCCTACTGCAGCTGCACAGACATAGGTGATGGGCTCCTTGTTTTTTTCTTGCAGCCACGGTATGATCTCCTATTTTTTTCTGGGATAGAATTACACGTAACGTGGTCGAGACGAGGAGGAATTGGCGTGTCGGCGGAGTCGTACAGGCTTGATTGGTGTGGGGGGGAGCGCGGATTCGATGTACTGTCACAAATAAAGTACAGAAGCACCTTATGTTGTTCGTTGCTTCTTCAGCGTATCCTCAGCGTATCTCCTGCCCCAGACCTTTTACAGACCTTGTACAAGTAAGAGGTACGGTACTTACACATGCGATAAGTTGCTACAACCAAATTGAACCAATAATGCTTAGTTCGCAATGAAATTTCAGGCAGGTACCTCCAAAGGTAAAGTACCTCCCCCTTTCAGAACGCAGTACCGTACTTGTGTAGCACCTAGCGCAGGCAAGGACGTGCGAAAAGCTTCCACTCAGGCCGCCGTCTAATGTCTAATGACTTCCAATTCTAAGGGCCCGGTGGGTCAGAACCAATTCCGGCGTATATTGGTAATTCAGCACTGTCGCCGGTCGGTAATTGGTCCGTATTCTTTAAAACACCCGTCTTCAAGCCTATCCGAAGCGATCGAAAAGTCCTCGATGATTCTACCCGGGTCGAGAGAGGCCAATCACCTTGGTCACTTTATGTAACTAGTAGAAGATACGACACTAGTTTGGCGTTGTTGATTTTTATTTTTATGGTGTTCGTATCGGAGCTGCAGGTCGGAAGGCGTAGAACGAATGGCTACGCGTATGTTTGATTATAAGTCAACGTAAGGGCCTTTAGGTCGCTAGTTGCGTGGTAAGCTTGAAAACGAAGGTAAAGATGACAAAGTTTTCGTCTGTGTTAAGTTAAGAAGTGTCAATGCCCAACCAGTTCAACTTCCAAGCCACCTTAGCTGTCTCGGACCGTTGCACTCGGTCGGAATGAATGAAAAAGCAATGATTCAGGCATCTGCCATAAACCAGTCAATTGGATATTGGCTTGCATATGATGCATATGATGCATATGATACTAATACAATATAAAATATAATACATAGGGAATCACCAAAAGAGGGAGACGAAGATGGTAAAAGGTGGAAATAAAGCAGCAAAATAACTTCGTCTTCTAAGGCTTCGTTTTTGTTTTATTAATAGTCAGCGAGGCAACTTGAAACTTTTCCTTCTCTCCTTACCCCCGGGCGACAGCCATTTGTTCATCAGACCCAGTCTCTAGTGAGAATGCCCCAGCAGCCCATCAGCCCGTCAGCCCAGCTACATAGCAGAAAACAGTACCTCTGTAGGTATGTATATATGTAGTGAGGTGGTAATAACGAGAAATCAGTGTGGAGATAATAGCGACAAGGTTCCCTTTGCGGATCGTGACATGTCCAGACTCTCCCGCCTTACAGTGACGAACCGGTTCGGCATATCATCGCAACGCTTCCCTCATTTAGCGTTGAACCCATCCTTTATGTCGCCTTGCCATTTAGTCAAAGATCTCACTGCCCGTCCCTTGTAACCATTATGACAGTAAATATTGAAGAATAATACCTAGAAGTGTCTCGTGCACGCAAACCCCCGAGCATGCCACATGGTTTACGTTAAAGCTCATGGTTAAGACAGCTAGGACCGCAAGGACCAGGCCACCCAGCATATCTTATTCCGGGCCAGCTTTGCTAGGATCGGGAAAGACGCAAAATGAAACATTACGACGCTGCAGGATTCCATCGAAATGAGGATGTGAATTGAACATATCTATTCACAAGTCTCCGAGTACCTGGTAGTAAATTTATGATCAATGAAAATTATGTCAATAATATCTAAGATATGTAAAGTTAATTCTTCATTAGGTAGTTATGTCAATGGTTTTCATAGATCATATGGTACTGGCAGACTGGGTACCTAAGCTATCCTAGGCCTTACGTCATCATACTGATTCTCAAATAGATATAATTAACTTGCCTAGGGGTAAGTCTGGTCGTTACATAGAAAGTAAAGTATCCCCGGCTTCTAGAAACGCTATCACACGCATTATGCATTACCTTGCTGCAGGACTGACAGTTGTCTATACGCTATTCGTGCTATTCGCGGGGTAATTGAGCAATAGAATGTTGCTGATGTAGAGAGAAAGCATTAGACACAGTTACACAGCTTGTCAGACATCTCGATGAAAAAAACAAACCACCGTAATTAAAGGAGAAAGGGGGGATCCGTAGCGTCAGACAGGCTTTCGTACTCAACAATGTAATTAAATTTTATTGCCCAGCCCAACTAGACGAACGCACCGACTTCGATTACACAGTAGCTTAGCTTTCTAAACATCTAAACAATACCTACCTAAGTACGAAGTAGCTACAAAGTCATTATTATGTTGAATGATCGTCACCTTTATGAATACTACTAATTTAGTTGAGGTGAAGACACATAAAGAATCCGAATGTGAAAGGATTCACATTCATGGAGTTGTGTTGGGTAATAAGAGATGATAAGGTACTAATAAGAGCATAAAAAAGGGGCAAAAGACGGCTATCCCATTTCGTTTTACGCGTCTCCACTAACCGAGGACCGGCTCGACGCGAATAGAATAACCACCTTACTAAAAAAACGATTGTATATATGGTAATCTTCTATATATGACCCCTGGTTCCTTCCCCGAAGTCCCACTTCCTTACGGATGTGCTGAATAACTGGGTAGCGCTAGGCACGAAGTAGATAAGGTAAGATGTTCCTTAATAGCCTTAATTGCCTTAATTGATTCTCATGGGGGGGAAACGGAAAACGGGAAACGGCCACATGTGTGATTGTTTATTCCTTATTCCCCGATACATGACTCGACATCGACCCTCGTTTCATATCATTTACTTTCTTCATATCTCTCGTGGATGCACAAGCTCATTCGAATATCAGGCAACGCTCTTTTGACAGACTATAACTACCTAGGAGTATCTAACCCGAAGCTGTTGAACAGCCTTGACCCACGCTCATTTGGCCCTGCGCTCTCCGCCTTTCGTTTTTTTCGCCTTTCTATTCTGATATCGAAACCTCCTCCGCGATTCGATCAACACCGCAGCTACTAAATTTAAACCGCTGTCTTCCCCAGCCAGATTACTAAAACCCCATATTTCAGGGCATCAGTCATGGCAACTAACCAAAATGAGCGACCAACCTTTCGCCGCGACTCTCCCTCACCCGAGAGAGCCCCTCGTCCAGCCATAGGTTCTAACAGGGCAGACTCGGCTCGGATTCTTTCGACCACATCATCCGCCTCTCGTGCCTCGAGTGCTGACGGTTCGTATCGAGATTCACTAGTTAGTGATACATCTAGGCTGTCTTCTTCAAGCTACGCCTCATCGCGTTTGTCTACAATAAGTCTAGATAGGCCTCTAAAGAGACGTGGTTATACAAAACCGCAAAGGACAGACTTTGCTACCAGTGCAAGGCATCGAGAGAGTGTTCTGAGTTTGGGAAGTATATCTCATCTTCAGTACTACTTTGCAAGGACAGGGCTGTTAGATGGAAAAGGAGGGCAGCTAGCAAGAAAAAGACACCCGAGAGCCACGTTAGACTTATCACTGTTGGATCCCTCTGCCGTGCTAAACCAGAAAGCCTCCGGCTCGGATGTAGACTCTTCTTCCTCCATAGGCAGCAGCCCAGACCTTGGTGCTCAGAGTTTTGGTAATGGTCTCATGGTTGAGTCACCCAGTGAAGACCAAGAGGGATTCTATTGGGATGATTTCGAAGATCCAGATATGGATGTCTTACCACCAACTACAAGCACCTATAATCATCGGGAGAAACATATTCCTAAACCTCCCACGGCTGAAGAGATGAAAGCAGACCTAACGAAGGCGCTGGACGCTGCCTCGAAAACACTTGTAGAGGCGGCGCCGATAAATTCGTCAACTCGATCTCCAGGGCATGCCAAGCCAACGCAAACGATGTACGAAGTCCAAGGAGTACAATTGCTCGACGTGATGACACTAGCTATTCGCGCTGCAAAGATCTACTACACGGCGCACGAGCATCCAGACCGTTTGGACTCTATCAAGTCCGAAAAAGAGATACGCTCGGAGCTGCTTTCTGTCATGGAGGTATTAAAACACATGGCAACTAGGTGTTTTGCCGGCGGTCCTCGTGGCGAAGAGCACAATACGATGACTTCATGGATCGAAAGTATACGCACCATGCTTCGCAGAGAGGAAGAGATAGAGAAGGCCGAACGTGCCGAGAGGGCTAGCTGGACGTGGATAAAGGGTGACTGGTCGGGAAGAGAAATCGAGCGCGAGATTGCGTTTTTAAGCTCGATCGACACCGAAGCTGAACCGTTGCCTCTGTGGACGCCAGTTGGCGAAGCGACACAGTTGCCAACCCCATTCCTAGAGAGCCTGCAGAACGGTCTAAAGCTTGTTAAGCTTCATAACACAGCAGTCAAGAAGTCACGGCGACGCTTTGGCGCCATTGGAACCTTCCACACGGACACACAAAAGCCGTATCGGTGCGCAGAGAACTTGCGATACTGGATTAAAGCGGCCGAGCTGCGATATGAAGTGATGCTGAAGGTGGACGTTATGGGAGTAGTCTACAACACCGACCCCCAAGTATGGGTAGACTTCGAGGCGGCAATCTGGAAATGGTGCCGGACGGTGCGAGAGGAGATCACAACCGAGTGGGAAAAAGCAGAAGCAGAAGCCGAAGCCGAAGCCGAAGCCGAATCACAATGACGGATGTGTGTTTATCATTTGTGTGTTTATCATTTTTTTTTCTTTTTACGAGTTCACGTTTATGACGTTCTACACAGAAAGTTCCGTCTCCGGAACTTTGCAGAGTCACTGTATCAGCTCAGTTGCTGGTAACCATGCTACATATATAGGTAACAAGGACGCTGCTGCATCACGATTTACACCATATACCCCAGGAGCATATTGGCTGCACTGTATTATTTTGATCCTCATCGAGAGGTTTAAATTGCAGGATAAGTTAATGAACGATCAAACTTTATATTTTTAATCAACTTCGACTATAGCAGATAATTAGCTTGTTTAGCTAAGTTTTGAGATACACAATACTTTAGCCTTTAAAGCAATGGAAATTATTCCCAAGTCATTCATCATTAGCATATACATGTATTATAGATTATAGATACCTTTTTTTACCTTCAATGTTGTTAATATTACGAGAGGCAGTACATAGCATGTAATAATTATCATTATTCTCTTCTATAAATGAAATTGTATTGTCACCTACCTGTGTTAATCAACATTCAAATCCATGTAGACATGTAGACATATGAGTGTAGATTACGTAATGTATCCACTCAGGTACACATATCACGTACGTAGTGCGGCAGAAGTTCGGGCTACAGTGGGTCCAAGTTTAGCAGGCCCGACCAGGCAAACGGAAGCTTCATCAGCTACCAGCAACGGCTAACGGCCTCGTCTTTAAGCCTTTAAGCTCCATCTAATTAACTTTCCATCCGCAAACCCATTCCGATTCCCTGCACGACACCATTTATTCTCAACACGTCAGCGACCTACATTTCTTCCAAACGAATACTCGGTGTCCATCATTTGTTACTACCATTTAATCCTCTTCCGAATCCGTATCATCATCAACCACCGACCATGGCCTCGGACCAAGAACGGGACCATGCGCTCCAAGCGCTCCGAGCCAAGCTCATCGAGTCGCGAGAATGGGAATCGAAGCTCAAAGCCTTGCGCGTGGAAATCAAAGGATTAGAGAAGGAGTTCAACCAGACCGAAGAGAACATCAAGGCCCTGCAAAGTGTCGGGCAGATTATCGGTGAAGTCCTAAAGCAGCTGGATGAGGAAAGATGTACGTCGCTACCGCCACCAACCCAAACTACTTGGAACCTCCGTTAGAAATACATACTGACTTCAGCTTGTTCCTGTAGTTATCGTCAAGGCCTCTTCAGGTCCCCGATACGTCGTCGGATGCAGATCGAAAGTCGACAAGGCCAAGCTGAAGCAGGGAACTCGTGTAGCGCTCGATATGACGACGCTGACAATCATGCGAATGCTACCTCGAGAAGTTGACCCCCTCGTCTACAACATGTCACTGGAGGACCCCGGCCAAGTCTCTTTCGCTGGTATCGGTGGTCTCAACGACCAGATCCGCGAGTTACGTGAGGTCATCGAGTTACCGCTGAAGAACCCGGAGCTATTCCTAAGAGTGGGTATCAAGCCGCCCAAGGGTGTGCTGCTATATGGACCTCCGGGTACAGGAAAGACGCTGTTGGCAAGAGCTGTAGCTAGCAGTTTAGAGACGAATTTCTTGAAAGGTATGCCTAGAACTTCTATTCTACATTATACAACTATGCTAGTTATCTAGTTTGGCTAATGCTTGGATTCTACACGGATAGTCGTTTCCTCAGCTATCGTCGACAAGTACATCGGCGAATCGGCGCGACTTATACGAGAAATGTTCGGGTATGCCAAGGAGCACGAGCCGTGCATCATATTCATGGACGAGATCGATGCCATCGGCGGTCGACGGTTCTCGGAAGGTACTAGTGCGGACCGAGAGATCCAGCGCACGCTCATGGAGCTACTCAACCAGCTAGACGGTTTCGACTACTTGGGCAAGACCAAGATTATCATGGCCACGAACCGACCCGACACCCTGGATCCCGCATTACTACGTGCCGGTCGTCTCGACCGAAAGATCGAGATCCCGCTGCCGAACGAGGTCGGCCGTCTTGAGATTCTCAAGATTCATGCCCAAAGCGTCGTCACTGAAGGCGAGATTGACTTCGAGAGCGTAGTCAAGATGAGCGATGGCCTGAACGGGGCCGATCTTCGAAACGTGGTCACGGAGGCGTAAGTTTTACATCCCCTGCCTAGCGGTTTATACTATACAAAAAAAGATGTGCTAATCCTTCAATTTTACAGCGGTCTATTCGCGATCAAGGCCTACCGAGACGCCGTCAACCAAGACGATTTCAACAAGGCGGTTCGAAAGTTAGCGGAAGCGAAGAAGCTGGAAGGCAAGCTAGAGTACCAGAAGCTATGAGACAAGAGCCACAGGTATAGCTAGTATTTGGAAGGGGAGGACCTATTCAGCGGGACGCATCTCTCTAACTCGTTTCTAGCGAGCCGTTAGGGAGTCAGACCGAACAACGCATCACGAGGCAGTATCAGTAGTTGGTAGCTATTCCCGCCTATTTTCCTGCGTAGGCGGGTTTCTAAAGCCCCGGCCAACTGCATAAGTAGACTAAGCCTCAGTGTACGATTATCAAATATGTAGAAAGCAGGCGAGGTCTCTCAGCGGCCTCGCTAATAATATGATCAAGGACACGATCTTATGAGCTTATTGTGTTTCCCTTGCCTTCCCCTTTTTTCTTACTTGTCTTGCAAACGTTATCATCACATCAATATTCTAGTACGGCTTACAGGTAACTAGGGAGCACGGGGTCGGTTTATTTGGCCGTAATCGGTCTCGTGTAAAGCGTTGTTGTTGAGGGATGTTGTAGAATTTTTTCGTTACACTTTGCTGTTGGCAGTCGTGTATTGCAACCCAGCAAACACTTCTGGGTCTTTTTTTATGCGACGCCTGTAGTACGGGAGACGTTATACCGTAGGTAAGATCATGATTATATGTATATACGGCTATCTACGGATACATCCGTAGAGTTCTATTTGTTTTGATCAGGTAACGTGAGTAGGTAATCTCTATGTCCTGGTTCCCTTTTAGTGCTACTATACTCCACTAGAACAAGGTGTGTGGCTTTGCTCGGAACAGAGAACACCATATACTAATTCGTAGCCCGTCCTAGGGATTTCAGGACCCGGGTAGTTTAGTAGCTAGGGCTGATATATATATGAGAGTAAGATTATTTTCTAGGAAGAACTAAGCGAAGGTCTTCCAAAGATATTGCATCGTTCTTTTAGGTAAACCCTATGGGCTACATTCTGGAGGGGCCTTCCGCGAGGCATATATCTGAAGCGTTTGTTATCTTTGACCGCCAATCTTGATGCTGTATACTGACGCAATATTTCTCTAAACGTAGAGTTAAGTTGGAGTTACGATACCCTTTATCACCTATAAAGGTCCTCGGAGGTCAGCCCACGTTGTTCATAGATTGAGTATTGGAGGGTCAAGGCTTCAGATAAAGCGTTACAGAACTTCCAAGTTAAAGCGTAGTGCTTATTTCATAGGAGATCGTCCGGTGTAGGTATTTATTAGTATTTATTAGGGAAAATGACACCCAGTACCGAGAACCGGATACAGTATCATGCAGCGAGGATGAGCGTATAGTTAGAGTAAACAGGGGGTTATTTTCTAGGCGGTCATAGTTCTCTTGCTACTTTCCTGTCGACGTCTACGTTGGTCTTATTAGGATGGAAAAAGGTTAAGAGCCTCGTGGATATAGTTATTGGGAAAGCGTTAAGTAATCTAAAGACACGAGTGAGGGTGTTATACAATTAGCTTCACTGGAGTTTAAATGCTTTCTGGTCATATATCGAACTATACGCTAAGAAGTACAAGCACAGCGCCCTACGAGAGGAATTTGAGTTATAGAGGATAAGTGTATAGAGCTCTTAATTTTTTTGGAGTTTTTGAAATAAGCTGGATGTTTAACCTACACGGTGCTCCTTGAGGTAACCTTAGAAAGTGCGGTGAGTAGAGTTACATGGTAGTCCGCATGAAGCAATCAGCAAGTGGAGTTTCTGTAGCTTCGATAAGCCTCGTTTATGATGGTCTATCGTTAGAAATTTCTAGTAATCGGGTCTACTCGTCCTGGAATGATAGGTGTCTGTATGTGGCCGGGGTCGAACCTGAAGTAATACAGCTCCACATACGTCCGTCGTCGTCCCAAGTTTATCTCGGAAGAAACTTGGCATATACCTCCCATGCCAACTTCTTGTCTATATACTATGGACGGGATAGTGGGGGAAAGGTCTTAAAATTGCCTATAGGACTCTTGCAAGACCCCCCCAGTCGAAACCAGCCACAAGCGCCTATATTCCAAGGAGCTGATAGAATCAAGCTGCCTATTGGCTAGAATATACGCGCCTAGACAGATAGGATCATAGGGCTGAGAAGGTCCATGGACGAGAATGTGTATGTGTAGGGCTAACCGTTCCGTGGATTGGCCAGCTCAGCCTCGGACCCATGTGTTAGGGATGCATGCACGTCTATAATATGAGCCTCTTACCAACTTGGTCACTTGGCAGAGACTTTTCTAGTTTCAATAACCTTAATTTCGCGGCGTTGAAACTGAACACTTGGATTGACGTTGATAATCCGTATTGTTGATTAAAAGCCTCCATTCCTGGCTTCTTGCGGGGTCATGAAATATACGAGACATGGAGACGGGTTCTCCCTAGCGTAGAGAGCTACTGTATGGCTAGCTGTGATCGTATAAGGAATATGCTAGTCGTGTTTGCGAACTACATACGTAGGCTCACACTGGGCAAACTCCAAACTGGCAAGAGAGCGTGGGGGTTCGAGGTGTGAATATGGATGACTTCAGTATCCTATTCAGGCTACTACTGGAGTAATCACCCTCAAAGTCTCTAATCTGGGTTAGCTAATTATTACTAGCAGCACTAAGGGTAAATGAAGATATTAAATATGTTTTCTATCTGTCATGTATTCATCTTATTGGAGCAATGGTGCATGAATCGTATAGAGCACGCAAATAGTTTTGCGAATTGTAAAGTCACATTTACGACTAAACCACCCCTGATCACAAATACGCTGTATCACTTCGTGATAAATACTACTTATTAGATGACGTTGCGCATAGCGAGATCTCCAACCAACTAAATTAAACAAGATGCGATACTACCACGTGCCGTGTTGAGAGATGTGTCGTTCGGACTTCCACGAACTGTAGGCCTCCGGGATAAATACATCAAGCCCTTCTACCCTGTCAATCTGACATTAGAATGGTGGGTTGCCGGCAATGCTACATGACTGGTAACCGGCGGCCAGGTACGAACCTTGCAGGGATTCCTATTGGGTAGATCGTGTTTATGCGTTGATGCTATTCTTAGCTAACTTTACCAGGCGCGAGTCACTAACTAGGCGACGGCGCAAGTTATGGTGTGTGTTGGTAACAGGTAGAGCTGACTCGAATTACTATATTGGCGTCCTTAGTTTCATCACGAACAAAAAGTTGGGCAACTCGGTCATATGACGGGGGCAAACAAAGAAAAGGCCGGCGCAGTTGTAATATTACTACCGAGAATCTGTTGTCG